TGCTACCTGAAGAGCATTTGTATGTTTGAGTTATCTGTAGCCCACACCTGGAGAGTGGTAACCATTGTTACCCATTCTCCTCTCCCCTATGAGGTATGTTATGCTACTGAAAATTCCAACTGCCTTGGGGGGGGGGGGGGTTTGGGGGGGGGAATGGCCTGAAGTCCAATCAGCTTCCATATGCAAAAGACCAGGTTGTCGCAGCAGTTGTGGTGTGGGTGGGACCCGGGCTTTGCCTTCTGATTGGTGGCGATATATGCTGAGGAGCAGTGCCATCAGCCATACACTAAGGGAGTGCATTTTAGAATTAGAACTTTGGCACCCACTATTCAATTATATATAATATAAGGAGAGATGTTCCGGCATCCTCTGTCTGTAACCATTCCAGCCACCCTGGAAGAGAGGTCAATATTCCTTCATCCTGTCTTTTGGAGGCAGGGCTGGGGGGGGGACAGTGACTTGCCAAAGACCACCTAGTGAGCTCTGGATGGGAGATTCAGACCCTGATTCACAGGATAGTCGCTTAGCAACTTTGCTCCGCCATGTGCCAAAACGTTGCTTAGCCAGGCATCTGTGGTTGAGGTTGCTTTGGTCCGTCCCCCCCGCCCGCATTTTCTAGTGAGCACGATATCCGCTGCCCCGTCACTTTATTCCCCTCCCCTTGTCCTTTGTGGGGGAGCCTGCCATTTATATATAACATCAACAGCATCCCCGGGGGAAGAGCTGGGAACTGATAACCTAATCCTTTTTCAAAATCACATTTATGTATGTATGACACGTGTTCTCATCCTGCTTTCCAGCCCAGACGGACTCCTGTTGGGGCTTAAAGAGAATCCTCAGGACAAATGACATTATAATCCCATCCCAGTGGGAGCGAGACCCGCGTGTGACGGAGGGAGGCCTGCCTGTGGCCTCTTCTCCTTCTGGCCTTGCTGGCTGGAGGATTCGGGTTGCCATTCTCCAGGTGGTGCCTGGAGACCTCCCACTATTACAACCGATCTCCAGCTGACAGAGAGCAGTTCACCCCGAGACAGTGGCCACTTTTGAAGGCGGACTCTATGGCGTCATACCCCACTGAAGTCTCTCCTCTCCCCAAATCCCGCCCTCTTCAGGCTGCGGTCTCAGAATCTCCAGGTGTCTCCCAACCAGGAGCTGGCAACTCTACGGGACGAGAGAAGCCCTGGGCTGGAGCCCAACTGCTTCCCCCCCCCCTTAAAGCACGTGAGATTTGAACATTCTCAGCACCGTTTTCAGTTCTCACAAAGGCAGTAAACCCAGGGCTGGCCCAAGCGTATTTTGCACCCTAGGCGAGGATCCCTTCTGGCGGGCCCCCCCCGCCCACCATTTTTCAAAAATAAATGCATTTTTGGAAGAATGAAAAACACAAATAATTAAGAAACTCTCAGAGTACGGGGCTGGGTGCATTTTGGCGCCCCTAAGGGCCGGGCCGCTCTAGGCGATCGCCTAGTTCGCCTAGTGAGTGAGCCGGCCCTGAGTAAACCCATGTCTGGGCTGTTCCACTTCGGAGGACAAGTGGGGGCTCCCTGAATGGAAACATGCAAACAAGAGGGGGGGGGGAAATCCCTGCAGGTAGAAAACTTTCATTTGAAAGCTTGGGAGCCAGCTTGGTGTAGTGGTTAAGAGCATGGCCTCTAATCCAGGAGAACCGGGTTTGATTCCCCACACCCTTCCACGTGCAGCTGCTGGTGTGACCTTGGGTTAGTCATAAGTTCTCTCAGAGCTGTTCTCTCAAGGGCCGTCCTCAAAAGAGCTCTCTCAGCCCCACCTACCTCACAGGGTATCTGTTGTGGGAAGGGGATTGTAAGCTGCTCTGAGACTCCTTTGTGTAGTGAAGGGCGGGGTATAAATCCAATCTCCTCCTCCTCCTCTTTTCTGGAAGAATGGTCCTGACGTGCTAGTTTTCTAATTGCCTGGATTGGGAGGGAGGGGTTATACGAAGGCGCCTTCCGATCCTGTGAGCGTCCTCCATCGGTCCAAGGCAAGGCGGCCTGGACTGTCACAGTGTATGACAACTCAGCCTTTAAAAAAATAATTGATTGCTCAGTTAACAAATTTACAAGCATAAATTTCAAACATATACACACGATTATCAAACTATTCCGTATAACACAACAATTTTGAATACAGTTAATGATCCTTGACTACTTTTGACCTCAGTTCTTCAACATTTTCATTCCTTTGAAAGGATCTGAGTTTAGTCACCAGATAGACCTCCTTTACCTTTTCTGATCACTCATTTATTGGACTGTCTTTTGATTTCCAGTGCTGTCTAAATACCAAGCGTGCAGCTGTTATTATATTTTGTAATTTCTTTGGAATTGTCAAAACATAGTTCAGTAGTATAATTGCCAGCTCAATTTCTACCTCTCTACCTAGACCAAAACTCAACAGAATAGCAACTGTCCTCCAATACAGAATTGCTCTTGGGCAGAGTTGCCCCATATCTACCAGCTCAGCATGGCACCTGTGCAAGAATTGTAAATCTTAGCAAACAGCTTTGGGGTCAGATCTAACTGATGAATCATTTTGTATAAATTCTCTCTAAAGCTCAAACAGAGAATGTCGACCCCGAAAACCATGCAGACCCCCAGACTTCTCTTGCAACTTCATATCTTTAAATTTTGGCTCCATTTATAAACCAGTGTTGGGCTGCGGTCACACGGAGCATTAGCCACGCTACAGAGACTGAAGATAGGAGGATTTTCTGGGCGCGATCACACTGCAACATCTGGGAAGCGTAGAGCTCCCGTGGCGAACCCGAGGCTTCCCGCTGAAGATGCAGAGTTAAAAACTAGTACCTCTGAGGTACTAGTTTCCGGAAACCGCGGGGCAAGGGCTGGCGTCTGATCGCGTTTCCGGTGGTGGCATTCGGCACCCGCCCATGTCCTTTCGCAAACAGGTTTCCCCCCCAAGTCTCCACAAGATGCGCACAAGCACCCAACGGCGCATGCACACAAAGAGGAAAGTGAAAGTGCCGTTTCGGCTTTAAAAAAAAAAGGACCCCGTTTGTCACGGCAGCGGCGCCTAGCCATTGCTGGTGTGATCGCGTCGTGCCGCTTCTTTGCCGCGCTGCAGGATCGTCGCGTGATCACTACCCTTGTTTACCCACTGGCGCGGAGGGAAGGACTTGTGGTGTGCCGCCGGCGCGTCTGATTGCATAATCGCGGATCAAACTGCGCCGGGGCAATTAGCCACGCCTCCCCCCCACGATATCCGGCCCATGTGACCAGGGCCTAGGTATCCTTGTTGGTTCCTGTGAGTTAATCCATAAAGCTTAGAAAGCAAATGCTTCAAGCGCAGAGTCATGATTCTTTCAGATTTGCCTGTTTTGCCTAACAGACAATCCATTGCAGATTAGATTCATAAGAAAACTCTTCGTTTTAAGATATTCAGACCAATCCCGGGGCAGGAGGAGGACACGGGTGCCGATGTTCAAAACCTTAAAACCATTAAGATGCTAAAAAATAAAAACTTCATCCGTCCATTATATCAGAATAACCATGAAAATGTCTAAAACTAAACTAATGATAAGTCGTGCAAAAGGTGACTGAGGGTTTTCATGGTGGGATTTTACCAGCTGCAAGCAGAATTTAGCTATTTATCTGGAGTTTTGCTGATTTCCCTCTGCCAGAAGTCTCTCTAGATCAGCACTATCTGCCTCAGGTGCTGGCCTATCTAAGAGGGGGGAGATAAGCGTATCCCTGTAAACTTGATGAAAGGGGCAGCGGAAGAACAGATGGGGCATTGATCCCACTTCTCCCAAGGAACAAGGGCAGCACCTGTCTTCATATGGTGTCTTTCTATATTTTCCCTCTAGGACCTTAGAGGGAATAGCCGCACAACGAGCCAGGGTAAAAGCCCTGGGTGCCGATGGTGAAACAGCAAGGCAGGGTCTGGCTTTGGTCAGGGGAGCAGCAGGGAGAGCAGCAGGGGCTGGCTGAGAATTCCAGTTGGCCGGAGCAGGAGAGTAAAATGACAAGAAAGGGCTGGGAGCACAGGGGGCAGGCTGGGATTATCGGTCAGGGCAGGTGAGGGGCCTTTGCAGATGCACAAGGGCAGCGGAGTGTTTTTTTGGCGTTCCTTGTCAGCAGCCTGGGGGTCTCGCTTTCCCATTCGCAAGGCAGCACAGAAGGGAGACCTGTTCGAAAGAAGCTTGCCCTTTTGCCGTGATGCCTGAGGGCAGCCCTGATTTTGTGCTGCTTGAAAGGGAAGTGAATCGACTGTCTCCATCCCCAAGGAGGAGATTTTCTTGTTGCCTGGTCCTTGATCTGGAAATATGTTTTTCTCCCCCCCCCTTCCTCCTCCTCCCCAGGGGCGTGGCACCTCCCCAGCAGCCGCCGATGCTGAACCTGCGGGCAGCCAATCAAGCGTCGCTCCTCAACGCCAACCCCATGCTTCAGCGAGCCCTGCTGGTGCAGCAGATGCAAGGTACAGATTGCAGCCCGCCTGCCTCCTTCTTTCCTTTCCTCCTCTGGCTGGAGACCAAAGCCGTCCTCTCGATGCAAAACAGGCGAAGTGTTGCATGCTAAGATGCTTGGGAATCCCGTCCCTGCCAAAGCCGTCTTTGCTTTGTTGACAGCTTTTACATAACCACTGTTCGGTTAAAAGTATCCCCCAAGGTGTTTAAAAATTACAGGTTAATATTTACACAGTGAAAAATTCAAAGTCTGGGAAGTCAGACAAGCGAAAAATATATGTTGTAACTGCGTCAGACCATCCAAAGGAAGGGCAAGTGAACCGCTGGAGTCACAGAGGTTTCAGACATTCACCTTTTCCTTGCAATGGACAGGAGATGGGATGTGATTCCCAACGCAAAAAATTCTCTCAAAGGCTGCTGTGTAAAAGATCCTTTGCTTTGCGGAGGGCGTTCTGACTTGTGTACACTGAAAGTTATCCAATTGAGTCCGGGTTGGTGGCAAATCCGGAGGGGCTTTGGGAGAGAAGCTTTTCCAGTTTGCTGCATTAAGTCGCACAGCTAGTAAATCGCTCTGTGGAGAGCAGTGGGGAAGCCACGTACTTAGCAACTGTCTGTGGATGAGATTATCAGGGAATCTGTGCTGTGCCAGCGCTTGAAATGAATGGAAATTGGCAGGGCTTGCTCAGTGCAGTTTCTCAGGAGTCTCTGCAGTGGATATGTAGGTTTGCCTTGTGTGTTTTCTCACGTGCAAGCCACAGGCTGAGTAAACCAGCATACTTCATAATTGGGGCTAACCACAAACTAAGATGTGAAACTAAGATGTATAATATAAACTAAGATATATAATATGAACATATATAAAGAAAGAGTCAGGTGGGTGGTCATGTTGGTCAGAAGCTATAGAACAGTGATGGCAAATCTTTTAGAGACCGCGTGCCCAAACTGCAACCCAAAACCCACTTATTTATTGCAAAGTGCCAACACGGCAATTTAACTTGAATACTGAGGTTTTAGTTTAGAAAAAAAACAACTCATACATTAACATAAGATGATACAAACAAAGTAAGGAAAGCAATTCCAAATGCTTTCATTTACTTTGGCAGAGAATTCCACACATAATGACGGTCTGAGCCTGGCTGGGGCGATGGCACACGTGCCCACAGAGAGGGCTCTGAGTGCCACCTCTGGCACCCGTGCCATAGGTTCGCCACCACTGCTATAGAACAAAGTTTGAGTCCAGCGGCACCTTTCAGACCAACAAAGTTTAATTCTGGGTATAAGCTTTCGTGAGTATAAGCTTTCGCACACTTCTTCAGATACATGCATGCACACAAAAGCTTATAGCCAGAATTAAACATTGTTGGTCTTAGAGGTGCCACGGCTCAGATTTTGTATACAAAGAAACATAATATGGTTTGCTCTGTTATAATGTAAGGTATATGCTGGTCATGCATGTCCTGCACATAGAAAATGGGCATTTCACATGTGCAGAACAGTGAGTGCAAGTTAAACATTATTTCTTATCTATGGGGAGGACAGGGGGCTGCTGCTTTACAGGGGCTTTAGAGAGAGTCCAAAGCAACATGGGTCTCCCTTTCCCACTGCTTCCAACCTTCTCCAGTGCATGGTCCAACACTGGCCTTCCTCTGTATTCTTGGTGCTTGTGGGAGCAACAGTAAGAGGGCTTCTGGAATTCTGGTCCTGCTGGTGGACCTCCTGATGGGATCTGGCTTTTGGCCACTGTGTTGGACTAGATGGGTCATTGGCCTGATCCAACATGGCTTCTCTTATGTTCTTCTCTGAATTCTGTACATCTGTGAGAAGTCTTTAGGGAGGGTTGGTTTCTTACACCTGAATGGAAGGTAGGAGCCCCCCTCCAGTACTCTGTGATGCGAGGAAGGTGTGGAGTATTTGCCAGCATGAAATTTACAGTTGCTGCTCGAGGTCATCTTGGTGGACCTTTGGTGTTTCAGCCAGTCTTCATGTTGTGCTATGTATTTTTTTTTAATCTTGTACATTTCTTTGAGCTGGGGTTTTTTTGCAGGGAAACCTCACCCTGGACACAAACCTCAGTTTGCTAGTTCAGAAGTAACATTAAGCTACGGGGAGCTGGAGAGCATGCATAAGCTCATGGCTCATTCATGTCACACCAAACCATGGCGCGTCATTGTGTGTGAACCATTTTGCAGAATCCTGCTTCAGGAATGCTGTCTTGTTTTTCTAGTTGTTCGGCTTAGTTCAAAGTACTTGACCAGTACTTTTCCTTAGATGAGGGTGGGCTACAGATAAGGTGGTACAGTTTTCTCAGAGAATTTGAGAGAACACTGAAATTCTCATATTTTTGAGGGGGCGTAATCAGCCAGTTAGGAAAAGGCATATTTGCTTGACTTTATGGGAAATGAGATGACTGAGGAAGCATAATAATAATAAGAGATTGGATTTATACCCCGCCCTTCACCTAAGTTGTTGTTCTCTGGTTTATTCAAACCAGGGATCTTGATACACCTAAGTAGCTTGTTAAACCTATTTATGTATTTATTTTTGCATTTTGCACTGGGATTTCATACTGGAATCTGCAAATACAGTCTGCTCCGGCAACCAATATATTTTAATTCTGGAGACCAGCATGGAAAATGTTAAGTCGCTCACATAACAAATCAGTCGGAGAGTGATTCAGCAAGAGCCAGTGTTCCCTCTAAACTGAGTTAGTGTGAGCTAGCTCACAGTTTTTTAGCCTCCGGCTCACACATTTTTGTGCTCGCTCAGGAAGGATGGCTCCAGAGCAAACTGATTTATGCAGCAGCCAAATTGCTCGCTCACAACTTTAATGCCAGTAGCTCACAAAGTAGAATTTTTGCTTACAAGACTCCTCAGCTTAGAGGGAACATTGGCAAGAACACAACTTTATTCTTCAACTCGAACACAACTCCAACACGGATCAACATCTGATAGCCAGAACAGCCTTTACATTGCAGCTGTCCTGCTTTTAAACCTTCCCGGCTAATGTAGCCACACCCACTGTACAAATACCAACCAATAAGGTTGTTCACATAAGGACCAATCACGGATGTTCCCGCTCAGGGAGCTTGCTAGAAAGTGATTGGTTAGGTGCTTCCTGGGCTAGTAACACGATTGGATGGATTTGGATCCTAGCCCAGGATGAAGCTTAACATTGTACTTCAATTAGATGTTTCAAGGCAGCTTTGAATACACTACAGAAAACATTTGGTGTACTCTGCCACAGGGAGATAATGTTTGAAAAAGCCATCAGTGACTCAGGGAAAATAAAGAGCACCTTTTTTGAAACGGCTTCAGGCTTACTTAACCAGTACAAAGGGATGGACTTTACCTCTGTAGAGCAGGAAATGAAAGTGTTTGGAGGGCCACTGGAAGGATGTTTGGCTCCCGAGCCAGCCCAAAAGTGTGGATCCCTTTTCATGTGTATACATTATAGCATTTCTCTTTTGAATTACCGATAAGGTTGTCAGAAAGCACCTTATCTAACAGCCCATTTCCTTAAAAAAGCACTCAGTGTTCTTGCATTGTGATTTACGGTATATAAATCGCAAATGTAATGTAATGTTCTGTAATATCTAATAGTCGCTTGTGTTCTTGGCTGTTTAGATGTTACGCAGTTGATAATCACGTTACGTTTGTAATGAAGAACCATCTGAGTCCCGGCTGTTCACCTGAATTTTCCCGGTCACTCGGCAGGGTTTGGGTTACGTTTGAGAATACTTGATGCCCAGATACTTTGGTATCTGAGAAACATCAGGCTGAATAATTTAGCGGCTGGTGTGACCTGTGGGGTCAGCAGTGGAAACTGGTAACGTGTGGGGGTGTTTCCTGTCTCTAAATGAAGGTGTTGTTTTTAGGGAGCAGACCAGGCATCCTGAGCTTGTGCTAAAATGGCAGATGCCGCTCTCTGGATTGTTAGTCTGTTAGAGCCTGTTCTCTCTTTTCTGGTTGCCATCCCATCCTTCACCCTTGCATGCCTACTCAGAAGGAAATGCTCGCTTCAAAGTGCGCGTGCTTCAAGTTGCAGCCTGAGCCCGCATCCGATCTGGTTAAGTCACTCTTTGGCGCTAGATGGCAATTGGAAAGGTCACTCACATCCACTTGAGTGTAAGAGACCAGCTTGCAGTGCGGCTCAAAAACAGCCAGCGTGTTAGGCTCAGAGTTGTGGCTTCATGCCCTAGCGGGGACGTCTTCAACCTTTTAACAAGGAAGGTTTCACGTTAAAGAAGTCTAAGTAGTGTCTTTTTGTGGTTGCTTCTTCTCTGCCGGCTTTGGGGAAAGCGAAATCTCCTCCCACACCCCTGAAAGCATTTGCTGATTTACAGTAATGGAAAAAGGGAATTAGATAAATTCAAAAGGGAATTAGATAAGCCTATGGAGCAGAGGTCCATCAGTAGCTATTAGCCACAAGGTATAGAGAGGGACTCTGGGGCAAGTGATGCTCTGTCCTCTTGGTGCTTGTGGGGGTCAACAGTGGGAGGGCTTCTAATTGTCCTGGCCCCACTGGTGGACCTCCTGAGGGCACCTGGTATTCCTGGCCACTGTGTGATACAGAGTGTTGGACTGGATGGGCCTTTGGCCTGACCCAACATTGGCATCTCTTATGTTCTTATGTTCTTAACCACATTAATCAGTGAATGTATTTCTGTTTCGTCGGTGAGGTGCTCGAGCGTGGCTTTGCAGGGCCAGCTTCTTCCCAGGCAGGGCTGGCCCAAGATGCATTGTGGTCTGAGGCTGACAATCAAGATGTCCGCTCTCTCCCCAGTAACTAACATGGAATACAAGTCTCCGGGCTGTTTTCCTGCTCGGCTCCTGTCGAAGCAAACTGGAGCTGTGCAGGAGTGGAATAAGCTGGCTTTTCGGAGAGCTCTTCCACCCTCTGGGGTCTGCTTCGTTTTTCCTCACGGGGAGGGCCGCTGTTGTTTGCCAGAGAGGCGAACGTTTCCTCAAGCCTGTGCCCTTGCGTCCTCCTCAGAGCCAGTTCGCTGTCAAAACGTCCCAAACAGCTGTTGGGGCGCAGCGATGGAGGAGGCTACAGCGAGAACACGCCGCTTCTGGTGTTGCTACTGTGTCAGATCTGTTCAAGGCACCTTGCAGAGGAAGGCAATTCCTGTGTAGCCTCCCTTGGGGTGTGTGTGTGTGCTGTAATGTTCCCTCTAAGCCGTGGAGTCTTGTGAGCAAAAATTCTACTTTGTGAGCTACTGGCATTAAAGTTGTGAGTGAGTGATTGGGCTGCTGCATAAATTAGTTTGCTCTGGAGCCATCCTTCCTGACCAAAGACAAAAATGTGTGAGCCGGAGGCTAAAAAACTGTGAGCTAGCTCACACTAACTCAGCTTAGAGGGAACACTGGCTGTGAGTGGGGCAGTTCACTAGGTTGAGCTGGCCATGCCTGGAGCAGAAGTAATACTTCCTTTTATTCATTTATTTATCTTGCCTTCCCAGGTAACTTGAGAGGCTTCAACATGGCCGCCGCTCCCGTGCTGCAGCAGTTCTTCCCTCAGGCGACGAGGCATTCCCTCTTGGGTCCCCCACCCGTCGGGGTCTCCTTAAAGCCCGCCCACCTGGCTTTCCCGGCCCTCCCATTTCAAAGGCAGAACCGCACCTTCCGCAAGGTGAGTCGTGCCGCCGCCGCAAAAATCTCACCGGTCTTTTCCAGTTCTCACACCACCCCCCTCCCCTCCCCTCCCCATACAGCACCCAGACGTCTGTCATGGAAGGGAAGGGTTTGAAAATGTGGGAGAGAGAGAACCAGGTTCTGTCCTTGGCGTCCTTCAGTTTCAGAATGCTTCTGGGCCTTGTTTCAAAGTGCCGGAGGAGGCAGGCCTGCATGACTCAGCTGGATGTCGCCCACCACAGTTTTGCTGTGGCCTGTGAGGTGCCACCCACCCCCCCCCCGTTATGTTCCTAATCAGGCAGCAAGAACTGAAGCTTTATCAAGGCTTGGGGGGGGTGTCTGCTGTGCTCTGCTGGTGGGGGGCATTTGGCTTAGTGGGGTGCGGGTGGTGTGAGCTAGCCTAGCCTGAAATGGGCCTTGGCTCCCCTCCTCTGTCTCTCTGGGCTGATTTGAGAGCCAGTTTGGTGTCGTGGTTAAGTGCGCGGTCTCTAATCTAGGAGAACCGGGTTTGATTCCCCACTCCTCCCCTTGCACCTGCTGGATGACCTTGGGCTAGCCTGATAAGAGCTGTTCTCGAAAAAGAGCAGTTCCTCTCAAGAGCTCTCTCAGCCCCACCGACCTCACAGGGTGTCTGTTGTGGAGAGGGGAAGGGAAAGGAGTTTGTAAGCTGCTCTGAGACTCCGAATGAAGGGCAGGGTATAAATCCAAACTCTTTTTCTCTTCTTCCTTGCTTTGTACCAGAGAAAATGGGCCAGGCCTGGGGTCTCCAGCCTGTTTGAACCGGTGGGCACCCTTAGAATTCTGACAGTGTGGTGGGCACAGTCGTTGGCTGCCATAGGAAGGGGAGCCAGCCTCGAAATGGCTTCCTTCCAGTCACACATTGAAGATCCTTGTGCTGTGGTGGCAGCTGCCGCCAAAGCAACACTTTAAAAAATGCGCAGAGCCAATCAGAAGCCTCACTGGGCAAAAGCCCTAACTGGCCTCACCCATTTTCTAAGTACACTTTATGAGCACCTGAAAAGGTGTCGGCAGGTGCTGTGGCGCCTCCCCCAGGCACCGCGTTGGGGACTCCTGGGCTAGATGTTTGGCTGATAACATTTGAGACACCTTTTGTGATCTGTAGGACTTCCCGAGGGTTCCCGAGAGGAAGCGGGAAGCGGATTCGGCGATCTCCTCATCCTCATCATCTCAGACTCCGGGACCGGAGGAGAGGGAACCTCTTCCGGAGGGGGGCCTCGTCAAAGCAGGGCCTGAAGAACCCGGCTCTTCGCCATCAGGTAGGGGAAGGGAGGTGAGCTTCTCTGAGCTTGTTCTCCAGCTCCCACAAACAACAACAGAAAAGGTGTGGGTGGCGGGGGGCGGGGGGGGACCTCTCTCAGACTTGGATGCTGTCTGGACAACAGATGGTGTGGCTTGCTAGCGTGACATGTTCCAGGAAGGGAAGAAGCCGCCGGAACAAAGAGGACAGTCTTTGGATCTGTGTGTGAGAACACCATCTTTTAATTTTTCCCCATGCCTTTCTCTGATTGCCTCATAGTCAGAATTTCATCCTTCTTCAGTAACGGGGGGCTACTTGGAATGGTCCCCCTGCTTCCTTCGTAGGTAGGGCTAGATTCTGTGGCTCCTTCTTGTCCTGCCTTATTGGGGCAAATTAGAAATATTTTCCTTCTCCCCCTCTGGATTAACTAGTGTGTGTGTCTTTGGTGGGGAGGAGCTATGAATGGTCTTTGGCGAGCCCCGAAGTGACCGCCCCATTTCTTCTGCCAGCCCGGCTTGTTGCCGATGCTTCTTTAAAGCAACTGGCCTGAATGACGTGGGTTCCGTGAGCACCAGCTCGAGTCCTGCCTGGTGTAGTGGTTAAGTGCGCGGACTCTAATCTGGGAGAACTGGGTTTGAGTCCCCACTCCTCCACTTGCACCTGCTGGATGACCTTGGGCAAGCCATAGTTCTGTCAGAGCTGTTCTTGAAAAAAGCACTTTCTGTCAGAGCAGTTTCTGTCAGAGCTCTCTCAGCAACACCAGCTCTCAGGCCAATCAAGTCCATTTGGCCCTCATGTGCAGGGGACATTTCCTGCAGGAGCGTACAGGAGCGGAGGTCCGGCAGCAAAGAGCCCAGGGGGCGGGCACATGCAACAAGCCCCGCCCCCTGCTCCCAGCAGCCCCGGGCCATGAGGAGAAAGAAGCAGCCTTCCTTCTTTCCTTCTCTCCTTCTTTCCCTTTCCCTCCTTATTTCCTTCTCTCCCTCTTTCTTTCCCTCTTTGGTGTAGTGGTTAAGTGCACGGACTCTAATCTGGGAGAACCGGGTTTGATTCCCTACTCCTCCACTTGCACCTGGCTGGATGACCTCGGGCAAGCCGTAGTTCTGATAAGAGCTGTTCTTGAAAAAAGAGCAGTTCTGTCAAGAGCTCTCTCAGCCCCACCTACCTCACAGGGTGTCTGTTGTGGGGAGGGGAAGGGAAAGGAGTTTGTAAGCTGCTCGGAGAATCCTTTGGGTAGTGAAGGGCGGGGTATAAATCCAATCTCCTCTTCTTGGTTGTCGTCTTCTTCTTCGCTTTCGTCTTGTCTTTCCTTCAAGGAGTTCAAGCAACAGGGCTCCCTCTCCTCCATTTTATCCTCGCTGCAGTCTCAGTTGAGGCTGGGACTGAACCACGGTCACCCAGTAAATTTTATGGCGAGCAGGGGATTTGAACCGGGGCCTCCTCGGTTCTTTACGTACTGCATCACACATGCAAATGCAATGGTTTGGGTACTTTCTGTCCTAGTATATTTTTTGCCGTTAAGTCGCAGCCAACTTATGGCGACCCCATAGGGTTTTCAAGGCGAGAGACATTCAGAGGGGTTTACAATTGCCTGCCTTTATATAGCAACCCTGGACTTCCTTGGAGAGCCAGTTTGGTGTAGTAGTTAAGTGCGTGTAGTCTAATCTGGGAGAACCGGGTTTGATTCCCCCACTCCTCCACTTGCACCTGGCTGGATGACCCTGGGCAAGCCACAGCTCTGGCACAGCTGTTCTCTCAAGAGCAATCCTCGAAAGAGCTCTCTCAGCCCCACCTGCCTCACAGGCAGTGTTCCCTCTAAGCTGAGTTAGTGTGAGCTAGCTCACAATTTTCCAGCCTCTGGCTCACACATTTTTGTCTTTGCTCAGGAAGGATGGCTCCAGAGCAAACTAATTTATGTAGTAGCCAAATCACTTGCCCACAGCTTTTATGCCAGTAGCTCACAAAGTAGGATTTTTGCTCACAAGCCTCCACAGCTTAGAGGGAACACAAGGTGCCTGTTGTGGGGAGGGGAAGGGAAAGGAGTTTGTAAGCCGCTCTGAGACTCCTTTGGGTAGTGAAGGGTGGGGTATGAATCCAATCTCTTCTTCTTCTTCTTCTGGGTGGTCTCCCGTCCAAATACTAACCAGGGTTGACCCTGCTTAGCTTCCAAGATCTGACAAGAGCAGGTTAGCTTGGGCCATCCTCACTGGTGGGTTACTGCAGACTGTCTGATGTTCCAAGTCATGTTGGGCCTGGCAGGATGCTCATCAGAGGGGCAGAAGAGAAGCCCAGGCGTACCTAGGCAATGGTCTGTGCCTCCCTCCAGAGTTCCGTCGTGCACCATGAGTGGCACTGAGGTGGAAGGTGTCAGAATTCTTCTCCAGCAATAACCTCTTTTTCTGTGCCTTCAGAGATGCTGAGAGGATCGTCCCCAGATGCTGAGCCGGCAAGCAAGAGGCTTAAAAGGTAGTCAACGATACCGGGGCCAGCACCCGCTGTCAAACAACAGCGCAAGATTGTCTTTAGTGGCACAAACTAAGGACCCCTCCGGCTGAGGTCAGCCAGGTGCCGCTGGGAATGGGGCTTGGAGGCAACAGCCCTCCCAAGCTGTTTGTCCCCACCACGTGGTAATGGCAGGTATACTGCCTCTGAACCTGGAGGCTTCACTGTGGTGGGATAGCTGATAAGTCGTGATAGACCTTTCCTCCATGACCAGTGCTTTTTAAAAAAGCCATCTAAGGTAGGGGCTGTCATTGTTCCTTGTGCTGTTGAATTCTGTAAGTTCATGAAGTAATGGGTAAAGACTTTTGCCTTTCCTGAATTTGCTGCCAGTTAAACTGATCTGGACATTTCCTTTGCCCTTTCCTGTATTGTTCGCTGCGGGTTAGAGCAGTGTGTTTTCGGTGTGAACGCTCATACATCCAGTACCTGGAATTTCCAGTTAAAGGATCTGAGATAGCAAGTCCCGGGGAATGCCTTTCTCCTCCTGAGACCCTCAAGAGCGGCTGCCAGTCAGAGGAAGGCACTGTTGTGTTGGGTTGGCCAAGAGTCTGATTTGGTCTCGGGCGGCTTTGCGGGCTCATGTGTCTTTTCGGAGATGGGGTGACCAGCCCTGCAGATGCTGTTCTTAACTCAATACAAGTCAGATAACGTGCTAAATCAGAGCACGGCCAGTTGGCCCTTGCAAACTTTCCCAGGAATTTTCTGCAAAACGTTCTCGGGAATCCCACATTGTCCGTTGCTAGTTTCCAAGGGTAGCCTTGACACAGAGAGTACTCCATCTTTCTGTGTTATACTTCTGAGGATGCCAGTCACAGTTACTGGTGAAATGTCAGGTCCTACAATGCCGAGACCACGGCCACACAACCCGGAAAATCTACAGCAACTAAGGTAGCCGTGTTGTTCTGCAGTAAAACAGCTGGGTTCGAGTCCAGTAGCACCTTAGAGAGCCACAAGATTTTTTGGGCAGGAACTTTCAAGAGTCAAAATGCCCTCATTTGCTGTACTTGTTTTTCCTCCCCTCCCCCTCCTGCCAGTGGAGACGAAGAGTCGATCCTGGACGATGCTCTGTGCCTCCCGGAAATGGAGGCTGCGAAATCCCACACTGAAGGTAAGAGCCCCGTGCTTGCTCCGGTGACCTTAAATGATGGGCACACCTGTGGACGCTTGGCTTTAGGCGGACCACTGGTCTGCCTTGGCGTGAGACAGCTTCATGCAGGCTCTCCTTTTTCCTGGGGGGTGGAAAAAGGTAATCGAACATGTATCTCCAGAGGCAGTTCTGGTTCAAGGTGACAGTAGCCTCATAGAAGGAAATGGTCAGAGGGAAAGATGAGCGTGTTTCTGTTTTAGCAGGAGGCTGAGGTTCGCTCTAAATGGGGCATGTGCGGGGGGCATTTATTTGGGTCTTTGGATGAACATTTTCTCTTTGGCTCTTCTGCCCACAGTGGAAAGATTTCTTTTCCCCAACCTCATTCTTTGTTTTCGTAGAGACAGACCAGGGGAAAGAGGATTTGGTGGCAGACACTTCAAAGGAGAAGAACTTCCCTGAGGAACTGAAGGCTTCGGAGGTGAGCCCACAAGCCTCTTTAGCCCACAAGAGAAAGGGGGCATTGCGAAAAGAGCCTTCTGCTTTTGTCCCTGAGGGTTTTAAAAAGATCTCAACGCATGTGTACTAGGAGGCCCAGTGTCCCAAGTCAACCTGGAGATAAGAACATAAGGAAAGGCTCGCTGGATTAGACCAAAGGTCCATCTAGTCCAACTCCAGTCTCTCACAAGGTCTGGCCAGGCGTCTCTGGAATGTTTACAAGCAGGACGCAAAGTCAGCAGCTTCCTTCTGCGTTTGTTCCCAACATCTGGTCTTCAGCGGTGCATTGGATCTTTCATCTGGCAGTCGTGGCTGTTTCCGGTTTCCGAGCTCTGACAAGATCAGGCCAGCCAGGGATATTCAGGCACCTTCTCTCATGTGCTAATCATGGCCCCACTGGTGGACCAACCTCCTGATGGCACTGGTATTTCTGGCCACTGTGAGACACAGAGTGTTGGACTGGATGGGCCTTTGGCCTGATCCAACATTGGCATCTCTTATGTTCTTATGTTCTTATGTGCTAAAGGGGTTTAATTGTTGGCGGAAGAACCTGGTGGATAGCCTTGGTGTGTGCATTGTTGTCTCCCCAGGTGGTGAGCTCCGCCGGGTCCCTGAAAGTAACAATTCAGCAGAGCAGTGAAAGCCGAGCAATCAGCACCACAGCCCTGAAGCCCGCGCACTGGACCTCTGAGATGGGCGCAGCCGAGACCAGCCCTGAGTCCACCGTGAAATTCTACTGTTACATCTGCAAGACCAACTGCTGCAACCAGCAGGTACAGCTGGGCACAAGGTGGAGGAAGCATTTGCATATGTGAGAACTTTGCAGCTACCTTCCCCTCTCTTGTTTGCAAACTGTGAAATGTGCTTGCATTAGCAGTGGGCCCGTGAACGCAGATGTGCTTTGCAGAGTCAGGGCTTGGCAAAAGAGGACTTTGCAGGAGGCAACCGGTGCCGGATCTTGAAGAGTGATGGGTTTGGTGGCTTATCTGAGGAACCAGGAACTGGAATATAAATCGGAGTCCTTAGAACAGTTTGTAGGTTAACAAGGCCTTTGAAAAACATGGGTTCCAATCAATGCTCCCCCTAAGGTGCGGAGTCTTGTGAGCAAAAATTCTACTTTGTGAGCTGCTGGCATTAAAGTTGTGAGCGAGCGAGTTGGCCACTGCATCAATTAGTTTTGCTCTGGAGCCATTCTTCCTGAGGTAAGATAAAAATGTGTGTGCCAGAGGCTGAAAAACTGTGAGCTAGCTCACACTAACTCACCTTAGAGGGAACACTGGTTCCAATCCAGCTTTGCTTATGGACTCAGGGTCATCTTGCACTTTTTATGCAGTAATGCTCATGAGGCTGCTGAAGCTCTCTCGTTGTTGCATTCCTGTCCCCAGACATAGGGTAGCAGTGCTGCTCTGTTGCCGTGGTTACCCTTCTGGTACCACCCAGGTGAGATTCCCTCCTAGCTCTTGTTCTTCCATTTTAGATTCTCCAGGTGAGCCAGTAACACCATTCCTTCATCTTACTGGAGGCTTGATGTTTTGTATTCCTTGCTGTTAGTTGCACTGGGAATCCATTAAGCCTGGAGGACCCCTCATTTCCTCAGCTGCTTGGGCATTTCTGCCCTACACGTAGGAACATTCCGGCAGTAATGCTCATGTGTTTTGGGTGGGCATATGCCAGGCTGCCCTCGTAGGCCACAGTGCTCAGTCCATGATCAGTAAATATGTATGGGTACCACCCTTCCTTCCAGGATATTGTAGTTTAGGATATTCCTCCCAGAATATTATGGGTATTCACCTAGGGACAATTCAGTGGGCAAGCAACAAACTTCATGTGTTGTGAAGGGTATGTGCAGCTGGAATGAAAGGGCAGGTTATCCTTCTGTTTATCCCTCCCCCTTTCTTGTCACAGATGTTAAGGCTGTAAGCTTTTGGGGGCAGGGACCTTTGTAAAGCTGCATCCCTACTGTGGGCACTATAAAAATAATTGTGTAGAATGTGAACGGACAGCCCTCCAATAAGAGCCAACTTCTAGAGAGACCTGGATATATATAAAACAGTACAATGTTGGACTGCAGGTTTCGCGATCTCGTGGTTGAGAGTGAGGCGACAAGTGCTTCTTCCTGATAAGTCGCTTTGCGCATTCAGGGGACGGTTGTGATTATTTCTTTTGGGGGAAGCATTCCCATGTGCAGTCCCTGCTTCTTCCTGATAAGTAGCTTTGCGCATTCAGGGGACGGTTGTGATTATTTCTTTTGGGGGAAGCATTCCCATGTGCAGTCCCTGCACAACAGTCTGAAACGGTAACGTCCCAAAACAGCTGCGCTGCATTATGGTCAGGATCCCAAAACCCTGCGCTGCTGGTTTCGAATGCACAAGAGAGTCAATCAAAATGGCAGCCTCCCACACTGCACAGCAGATCTTATTTGTAACCGAGCGGGCTTTCGAACACTGTGATGAGGCACAAGGGTCTGTTCAAAGGAAATGTGAGTGTGCCTCAAGTTGTTTTTTGGATCCCAGTCTGGTATTTTTGAACAAGGAGATCAGCTCTTGAGTCTCTTTTGTAAATAATAATAGAAGAATAGTAGCCCATGGGGCATGAAAGAGACATTTCAGAGTCAGAGGCTGATTAACATAAGAGAAGCCAATGCTGGATCAGGCCAATGGCCCATCTAGTCCAACACTGTCACACAGTGGCCAAAAATACCAGGTGCCATCAGGAGGTCCAGCAGTATGGAGACTAGGAGCCCTCCCACTGTTGCCCCCCCCCCAAGCACCAAGAATACAGCGCATCCCTTGCCCTAGGCGAAGAGTTCCTGTCTATACCTTGTGCCCAATAGCCACCTATGGACCTCTGCTCCATATGTTTCTCTGATTCCTTCTTGAAGCCGTCCATGCTTGTAGCCGCCGCCGCCTCCTGTGGCAGGGAATTCCATGTGTTCATCACTCTTTGGGTGAAGAAGGACTTCCTTTTATCCGTTCTAACCTGACTGCTCAGCAATTTAAATTTGCAATTTAAATTTGGGATGGTGACGGTCTCCCTCTCTTGGCCAGAATTTCCAGGCTCACATGGCAGGCGTGGAACACCAGCAGCGACTTCAGGAGATCCAGCACATGAGCAACATCTGCTTTGTCTCACTGCTGCCTATGGTGAAGGAGCAGCGGCCGCTGGCTGAGAAAGACGGGTGCGTGCATGGATCCTCCCTCAGTGCAACGGCGCTGCAGCCTGGCGCTCTCTCCCCTCACCCCGTTTCAGCTGGAACAAATGTGGCAAACTGCTGAGTTTGGTGAAGATGCCGTTCAGTCTCATCAGTTGCACATAACTTGTTAGATGCAAACTTTAGCGCAAGTAGGAGCGATGATACCAGATATCTAGCCATTGGAATCATAGAGTTGGAAGGAACCACCAGGGTCACCTAGTCCGACCCTCTGCACAATGCAGGAAATGCACAAATACCTCCCCCCCCACACCCCTAGTGACCCCTGTTCCATGCCCAGAAGATGACAAAAAAAACCCTCCAGGATTCCTGGCCGAACTGACCTGGAGAAAAATTGCTTCCTGACCCCAAAGAATTGCTGCAGGAGACTGAGGCTGCAGAGAGGGGCTACAGAATTCTGGAGTTACACCCCCGGGATATTACTTTAAAGCAGGGGTCATTTCGTAGAAAAAGAGGTGCAGGAGCTCATTAGCATAACTCTTTAGCACAACTCATTAGCATAACTTATTTGCATATGACACACCCCCTGACATCACCGGAAGTGTGTCAGAAGGCAACACCCACCGCTCAGGCTCCACTGGGCTGTTTTGGATTGCTAGCTATTGGGGGGGGGGAACGTGCAGATCTGTCCTCGCAGATACCTGAATAAAACTTGGTCTTAAAGGTGCCACTGGACTGTTTTGGATGGGGGGGCCCTCTGCAACTTACCTGTCTGCTGCTTGCTCTGACTGAGGGCTGCTGGGAGCAGGGGGTGGGGCTTGTTGCATGTGCCCGCCCCCTGGGCGCTCCTGTAGGAAATGGCCCCTGCTTTAAAGTAAGAGGTCCCCAACCTTTTCAAGCCTCTGGGCACCTTTGGAGTTCGAACAGAATATGTTGGGCCCAGCGGCAGAAGGGAGACAAACACAGTCACAGAGGATTCCCAAATGCAGGGGCAAGAGCAGTAATTTTTAAAAATACACCGGGAAAGGGGGGGAAAGAACAAAACCGACACCATATAACTTGTTATGAAACAACATTATTTTAATCTGCAGAACTACTCTGAACTCCAGTGGCCAATCAGAAGCCCTGCTGGACAGGAGCCCCCCCCCCCCGGCCACACCCACTTGCTAAAAACACTTGGCAGGTGCCCGGATGTCGGTGGGCACCACTCTGGTGTCTCTTCAGATAGCATAAATCTTTCGCTTTAAAGTTCTCCATGTTAAAAACAACAGAGCTGCCTTGCAAGTAAAGTAAAACAGCGACAGCAGCACTTTCGGGAGAACCTTTCGAGCCAGGCCACTTCACCCTGGACAGTTTGAATGTGAACCGCCCAGGCTCTCAGCTGACAGACGCCGGAGCTCCAGGAAGAGGTGTCAGACAGTCTGCAGAGCTGTCCCTGTGGTACTTCTCTCTTAGCTGGGATTCTCTTTTCCTTGCAGAGAGAGCCAGCAGCGATGGTGTAACACCTGCCAGCTCCATTTTGCAGGAGATCTGATCAAGCATCGGCGGACTCAAGAGCACAAGGTGGGCTGGCGACATACCTTCTTCCCTTTGGAGAACAAAGTCTGGGTCCAGCGGCTACCCCCACCTGAATTGGTCTTCTTTCCTTTGGGTTTTCAAGGAGAGCTTGAATGGGACGGGGAGGGAAACATGTTGCGGGATTCTGGAACCCCAGGACTAGTTCCCTGGGGCTGGGAAGGTCCCAGGGAACTAGTCCTGGGGGCCCAGAACCCCGAGACATGTTATTATTCTGTGTAGTGGTTAAGTGCACAGAGCCAGTTTGGTGTAGTGGTTTAAGTGCGCGGACTCTAATCTGGGAGAACCGGGTTTTATTCCCCACTCCTCCACTTGCACCCGCTGGATGACCTTGGGCAAGCCGTAGTTCTGGCACAGCTGTTCTTTAAAAAGAGCAGTTTCTCTTAGCCCCACCTGCCTCTCAGGGTGTCTGTTGTGGGGAGGGGAAGGGAAAGGAGTTTGTAAGCCACTCTGAGACTCCCTTGGGTAGTGAAGGGCAGGGTATAAATCCAGTCTCCTCCTCCTATTATTATTATTATTATTACATTGTGGGTGTGTGGGGGGGTGTATGTGCCCATGCCTGGAAGTCATAGTGACCTCTACTGGGGCATGAATGATGTTCAGAGAAGTGGCTTGATAGCCTGCCTCTTTCTCTGGGTCCTGGTATTCCTTGGAGGTCTCCCATCCAAATACTTGCCAGGGTCAGTCCTGCTTAGCTTCCGAGATCTGACGAGATCGGGCAGCAATTCTTGAGTATTAGGTTGTTCTAGTAGTCCCTGCTTTCTCTGGTAAAAACTGTGCGATAGTACTGATCTGGTTCTTGGACCGGCTGCACAATTACGTTACTTTAGGAATTGTGGCTTAAAGCTCGTCCTAGTTAAAATAACTTTAATTTGAGTTCCTTCTATTTCCTCCCTTGCACAGAGACTATGCAGCAGCCATAGAGATCCACTCTGGAGCATTTAGTTTTCTTTAACTGCTCACTTGGAAGGCGTCCTGAGTGTGTTAGATTAAGCCGAGTCACATTCATGTGTGTTGTTCTGTATGTATTTCTTTAAATTGTCAGTAGCTCTTTCCTTAATATTTTCTAAAGAATAGTCCTGTTGGGAACAACAACCCTCCTCTGTGAGTGGAAGGTGCTGGAGCAGGAAAGTGTGGTACAAAAGAATGGCAAAAAGACTTTGCTGGGAATCTTGCCTTAAAAACTTTTAAAGCTTCTTTTTGGGACTGGTGGTTTCGATGCCTGATAAAATCTGTGTTCATAACACAGCGCCCTCCCTGTTACCGGCAGTAGCAAAATAAATTCTGCCAGCTAAGTACATCTGTGCAGATTTGCTTGTCACCTTATACAAGTCACAGGATTGGGTTTTATTTGGCACAGCACTTTGGATTGTCTTGCAGTTAATTTTGCCCTTGGCTCAGGATGTACCCAGCCTGCAAAGAATTGCTCCTGCCCCAGCCTGTGTGTGGTTGTCATGCCACTTCCCTGGGATTTGGAGTCAGTTGTGCTGATCCAGGGGCTGGTGGCTCATTGCTACCTTCATAACCATCACCGTGCAATCCTGTGCGCAACTACACCCTTCTCAGTCCATTGAAGTAAGTGGCCTTAGAAGGACGCAACTCTGTTCTGGATTGCGCTGCCGCTGAGAATTTAGGCCAGTTTACCAGGGCTCTGTGTGCTTAGCCGTGTAATTTGTCCCTTTTGAGTCTGCACATTGTACATCAGGGGCTTGCACGTGAGCCCCTCTGGGCACCCACCCTTCTCTAGAAAACAAGCAGGTGTTATTTTAGAATGTATACAGCGCTTCCCCTAAGCACTTGAAGCGCTTTACATGCGTTGGTAAGTCCTTCCAGCAGCCCTGCTGGTTAGTCCAGTCTTCTTATCCTCATGTGGCAACTGGGAAGTGAAGGGCAGAAGGGTTATGGATCACCGGAGGCTACCCCTGAGCTTTCCAAGGGCAACCTTCAGCGAAAGCAACAGCAAACCGAGTGTTGCCTTGACCAAATGCCGTATTCTCTCCCACCTCCAGCTTGCCAAGCGCTCTCTCCGGCCCTTTTGCACTGCCTGCAGCCGCCATTTCAAGACCCCACGCAAGTTTGTGGAGCACATGAAGTCTTCAGAGCACAAGCAGAAGGCCAGGGAGGTAACAGCCCCCAGGGGTGTGGTGGTGATGTGCTTGGCAGATACTCTGGCGGGAGGGACGGTGTCTCTCTCGAAGCTGTTCTCCTTGGGCTTTAGTGCTGTGCCCCCCTGGAGGGGATACAGCACCTTGAGCCCCCCAGCTTATGGCCTTCGTTGGCATCTTTTTCCCTCCGGATCGCTGGATTCTGCTGCTGGGAGCCCGACCAGTAGTCAGTAGCCTTCCTGATCCAAAGCTAAACCAAGCTGGGGGTTCATTTTGCATTTGCTTTGGGGCTGAAGAATCCAGAAGGGTCCTGTACTACCTTACACATCTCATGCGGACTAGGTCTGAGGAGGGAGGGTTGCTGCGGGCCTGGGATCGGCATGGGTCAAGAGGGCTTCAGGTGGGCGCTGGCGGAAGATATTCTGGACAGGACACCGAGCTTGATGTATACAAACAAAACGGAATGTCAGTGTTTTCCTTGAATTGTGTGGCATTGCCCCCTGGCAGGATTCAGGTCCCCTGGACCCATGATCTGCATTGTGATGATGCCAAATTGTGTGCGGACTCTAATCTGGGAGAGCCGGGTTTGATTCCCCACTCCTCCACTTGCACCTGCTGATGTGACCTTGGGTCAGTCACAAGCTCTGGCACAGCTGTTCCTAAAAGAGCAGTTTGCGTCAGAGTTCTCTCCGCCCCACCCACCTCACAGGGTGTCTGTTGTGGGGAGGGGAAGGGAAAGGAGTTTGTAAGCCGCTCTGAGACTCCAAGTGAAGGGCGGGGTATAAATCCAATCTCTTCTTCTTTTTCTTCTTCAAATATGAAATGTCAGGAGACAGGAATTGCCGGTCCTTCCTGTTAATTCTAAAGTATGCTTTAGATAAGGAAAAGCCAATGACAAGTGTCTTACTGGCATCGTTTGTTTCTGATGGAGTATCCCAAAGGTGAATCTCTTTCAGCAGGGAGGAAACTTACATGTGAGCCAGTGTCTTTTACTGGTGGGGAAGGGGAAGGACCCCTTTGGGTTACTTTCCCCCCACCATAGAGAACAATGGAGGGGATGGGGGCAACCTGTTTGGGGGCACGTAGAATTGGACCCCCTGGTTCAATGTCCTTAAGACTTGTAGGGTATCTTGGGGGGAGGCCCCAGCAGGTACCCTGCGAGTTTGGAGCCTCTCCCTCAAACCCCGTCGCCTCTAGCCCCCAGAATATACCGTATGTTTTCGCCATTGACTTCAATGGCCTGTAGGATATAATGGGGCCGAATTGCCGCCGAAATCTGAATCGGTCTGCAGCAGCCCGAAAGGGGCCCGAATGGGCAATTTTCAGGGGTGCATTCGGTTCAGACGAACCGAATGCACATCCCTAGTTGTCGACCTGGACTCATTGATCCTCTCCCCCTGACTGCCTTCCTTACTGTGTCTGGCCAGGTGCGGTTAGGAGAGAAGGAGCAGGGCGGGCCGGAGGACTCCGAGGAGCTCATAACAGTAGATGCGGTGGGCTGTTTCGAAGATGACGACGACGACGATGACGAGGAGGAAGTCGAAGGGGAGGAAGACTCTGAGGTGGGGCAGCTGGATGGTGAAGATCCTCTGGGCAGGCAGGTACGTAGTCTCGAAGAGAAGGCTGCAGCTGGACGTGGGAGTCTGCAAGGAGCTGGGATGCTCAGCCAGGGTGGGGTGTCAGGCTGGGATCCAGGAGGCCCAGATTCAAATCCTCGCTCTGTCATGGAAATTTACTTGGGGTGACCTTGGGTTAATCACACACTCTGATCCTGACCAACCTAACAGGGCTGTTGTGGGGATGAATGCAGGCAGTGCTCCCTCTAAGCTGTGGGGTCTTGTGAACAGAAATTCTCCTTTGGGAGCTACCGGCATTAAAGTTGTGAGCGAGCGATTTGGCTGCTGCTTAAATCAGTTTGCTCTGGAGCCGTCCTTCCTGAACTAAGACAAAAATGGGTGAGCCGGAGGCTAAAAATCTGTGAGCTAGCTCACACTAACTCAGCTTAGAGGGAACACTGGATTATGCTGGAGAAGAGAAAGAGGTAAGCTGCTTTGGGTTTGCGTTGGGAAGGAAGGCAGTGAATAGAATAAATAAAGCTTGCTGGGCTGTAACGGGATTCTGTTTTAGAGTTGTTTTAAGTGTAACTTGTTCATTTTGGGACCCCCGATGTGCCTGGGGCCATGGCACCTGCCAGTGCCTCTCCTGGGGCTCCCCAGGTGTTTTCAGAAAGTGGGTGGGGCTCAGTGGGCTCCTTCCCAGCTGGGCATCTGATTTTGCCCCTTTTGAGATCTGTAAGGGTTAAAATAACATTTCAGCAGCAGCCCCACGACAGTGCTGGTCTTATTCTCCAGTTTGGTGTAGTGGTTTAGTGTGCGGACTCTAATCTGGGAGAACCGGGTTTGATTCCCCACTCCTCCACTTGCACCTGCTGGATGACCTTGGGCAAGCTGTAGTTCTGATAAGAGCTATTCTTGAAAAAGAGCAATTCCTGTCAAGAGCTCTCTCAGCCCCACCTACCTCACAGGGTGCCTGTTGTGGGGAGGGGAAGGGACAGGAGTTTGTCAGCTGCTCTGAGACACCTTTGGGTAGTGAAGGGTGGGGTATAAATCCAATCTCCTCTTCTTCAGTCACAAGTTCTCTCACAGCTGTTATCTCAAGAGCAGTTTCTGTCAGAGCTCTCTCAGCCCCACCTACCTCACAGGGTGTCTGTTGTGGGGAGGGGAAGGGAAAGGAGTTTGTAAGCCCTTGGGTTTGTGACTCCCTTGGGTAGTGAAGCCGGGTTTGTGACTCCCTTGGGTAGTTTGTGACTCCCTTGGGTAGTGAAGGGCGGGGTATAAATCCAATCTCTTCTTCTTCTTCTTCTACCTCACAGGGTGTCTGTTGTGGGGAGGGAAAGGGAAAGGAGTTTGTAAGCTGCTCTGAGACTCCTTCGGGTAGTAAAGGGCAGGGTAGAAATCCAATCTCTTCCTCTTCTTCTCTCTCTGATTTTTCTTTACCAGTGTATTTTTAAAATTCGCCCCTCTTGTCACCTCTGCTTGGGCTTCCCAGGTGGCCATTTTGTGGCTGCACCCATCACACCGGGGGGGGGGGGATTTAAAATGTGCCCACAGGCACAAAAAGACTGGGGACCCCTGCTGGATACTTTTTGTTGGGGGGCGGGGAGGTACAGTCCCACAGTTCATTGCAGGCTCCAGAAGTGGCAGTACTGTAACTGTATGGTTTGGTTCTCTGCACCTTTGTGCTTACCAGACCAGAGTGTACAAAGCTGACTTCCACAGGGTTGGCCCGCTGGTCCACCTAGCTCAGTACCATCTACTCTTACTGGTTGGGGTTTTCCACTGTCTTGGACAAGGGAGCGTGTTCTTCAACATCTGCTTCCAAGGGACTTTTTTTCTGGAGATGCCAGAGACTGAACCTGGGACCATCTCTAGGCAAAGCTTGCCCCTGGGCCATGATAGGGGAAGGAAGGAGAAGCACCATGCGGGAAAGCACAGGTTAATTTTGGTGTGATAAGTGCTACTGTGTCACACGTGGAGGGGTATTTAGATGACATGACAGATGCCACACGTAGCCGGGGGAAAAGCTGACTCTGGTGATCCTGGGTAGAAGAAGAAGAGTTGGTTTTTATACCCTGCTTTTCTCTGCCCTAAGGAGTCTCAAAGTGGCTTACAATCGCCTTCCCTTCCTCTCCCCACAACAGGCACCTTGTGAGGTAGGTAGGTAGGTAGGTGGGGCTTTGAGAGTTCAGAGAGAATGGTGACTGGCCCAAGGTCACCCAGCAGGCTTCATGTGGAGGAGGAGTGGGGAATCGAACCTGGTTTTTCGGATTAGAGTCCCCCACTCTTAACCACCGCACCACACACGGGCTGGACTTTCAGTCTGATTCCTGGTGCAAGAAGGAAGGGGTGGAGAAATGTGAAGGGAGGGCAAGCCCAGCGGGCCAGGTTTTGGCCTCTTTGTCCTAACTAGAAGAAAAAGGAGATTCGATTTATACCCCGCCCTTCACTACCCAAAGGTGTCTCAGAGCGGCTTACAACCTCCTTTCCCTTCCCCTCCCCACAACAGACACCCTGTGAGGCAGGTGGGGCTGAGAGAGCTCTGACAGAAACTGCTCTTTTTCAAGGATAGCTATGCCAGAACTATGGCTTGCCCAAGGTCATGCAGCCAGGAGCAAGTGGAGTGGGGAATCAAACCCGGTTCTCCCAGATTAGAGTCTGCGCACTTAACCACGACACCAGGCCATTAAACGTGACGTCTGAACTCAGCCATAGCATCTCCCATAGTGGCCGTTCAACCTTTTTGCATCCAAGGGGTGTTAAGGCAGTAGAGCCCCCCCCCCCACTGGCATAACTCCCATCTCCCTGCCCAGAACTGTCTCCTGCAGAGGCTGTTGCGCCTGATCTTTATGTAACATGTCGGAATCTGTTTGTTTCTCCTTTGCCCTTTCTGGCCTTCCTGGAATCCGTGTGTATTTTGTTGGCAATATAACCCTTGCATTGTACAGTACAGAAGTACGGTAAATAGTAAACACAGTAAATAAATACAGTCACCGCAGGGGAGTGTCATCAGGGTAGATGAAGAATGACTAACCACAGCCGTGCCTTCCTTCCCACGACTCTGCCCCTTCCCCACTCCCTGAAGGCAAGGGGGGGGGCAAGGTGAAACCAAATACTGTCCTCAGCTGTGGGCCACGAGGACTGCTCTGCCAAGAGAAAAATGTGGTGGCTCATTTCTTGCCCTGTCCCTTGCACAGGTTGGGCTAAAGGAGGTGTCCTCGGGTGATGCCGAAGGAAGTGAGAAGTACAGTCCGGATACTGTCTATGGTAAGCAAACAAGTCCAGTTGAATCTTGCGAGTCCAGTTGAATCTTCCCTCTCCTCCCCAATTCACCCGTTTGCTTCTTTTACCCTTGCCACGGGAATCCCAGCAATCTCTGACTGGTCCCCAAACATATAGGTTGATAGCGCTTGAGAAGGAGAAGACGGTTACCCAGCTCGTGCATCGTAAAAGTGGGGAGACCAACCGCCTCCTCTCCCAAGGATTCATTTGGTAGGACATTCATGGAGAACAGCTGTTATTACCCACAATAACTGGGTCTTAATGGAACCTTCATATTCAGGAGCAGTATAACTTTTTATAGCCGTGGCTGGTTACAAACAGAGATGGCTGTTGCTTTCATGCCGTATGAGTTTCTAGAGGCTTTTGACTAGTCACTGTTGGAAGGAGATCTAGATCTGTGGGTTTTCTTTTCTTTTTTTCCAATCTTATCCAGGGAGATAATTTTTATATCCTTTTAGAGAGGCGGCGCTGTAAACAAAACCCCTTTGAATCTTGCCTCAGTTCTTAATGTCCTCTGGAAAGACTGGCCCTGCCGAATATGTCGTTCCTGCCAAGGAAATGCTGATGGCTCTCTGCTTCTGCCTATAGCTGGGCTTTGGGGGAGGACAGGATGCTCGTTTTGAATCCAGCGGTGGGTTCTCACCTCCTGGAAGAGCTCTTGGTCAGAGTGGGAATAAGCGGCGTCAAGAGAGGGTCAAGAGAGAAACCAAGGTTTCAATTGTTTGAAAAATTATTATAAATCCGCCTTAAAAAAAACAACACCCTCAGTCCTCTTTCTCTTGCATTCTGTAGACATTCTTCCTTGCTTCTAGCTGTCTAAAATTTCCCCATCGCAGTCCTCTTTGTCATCACTCCCCCTTTTTGCTTACGTGACCAGATGCTCCCTTTTAAAACCCATTTGAGGGTCACCTACTGAGAGCCCCGAGGTCAAATCCGGCCTCAATCACAGTGCCTTCTGGCCCACCAAGTGTAAAGAAGGCCCCCAATGGTAAAGGTGGACCGATACCTCTGTGGCAGGGGGCCAGCAACTGGCTTAGGAGCTCCACACTTCCGAATCGGAGTGGCCTTCCAGCCAAGGGAGGAGCTCTCCTGATTTTTACATCCTCCTGATGACGCCTGTTGCCACAATGAAGATCTGCGGCCGGCGATGCTCGTTCAGTCTGAGTGTAGCAAAGCCAAAGGACTTGAGGCAGAACCTCAGGGCCAGCTATGGAGTGGCACACCCCACGGGCAGCCACTTTGTCCCACAAGCCACCTGAAACAAAGGCAAAGTCCTGGAGTGACGCAGAGCAGGAATCCCCCAACATGGCACCCACATATGTGTTTCTTAGGGCCCATTTTCTTTTCCGCCAAAGGCTCTCTTTCCAAAAGCAAGGAGCCAATCCTGGCTCTCCTCCACGGCATCACAGCAGGAGGTGCTTCGGAAGACCCCAGGAGGGCAGTCACTTTTGGGTTTGTAAGGCGAGCCCATTCAGAAACATCATAGGGGGATTTTTCGCTCGGAACTTCCCAACAACTTTACATTGGCACTCTCCCCACGCATTTTGTGGCATTGTCTACTACCCTGTCTTCTCAGGATTCCAAAAGCCACCTATGTAAGGTTGTAGACCCTGATGCAGAGGGGTGAATTCAGATGAACACCAGCACTATATGAAGCTGCCTGACTTGGAGGCAGTAATACTGGCCCCTGAGTGTCTGTCGCACTGGAGGGGCTGTGGCTCAGTGGTACAGCATCTGCTTGGCATGCAGAAGGTCCCAGGTTCAGTCCCCGGCATCTCCAGTTCAAGGATCAGGCAGTATAGAATCATAAAATCATTGAATGTTAGAGTTGGAAGGGACCTCTAGTCCAACCCCCTGCACTCTGCAGGAGCATAGCCGAAAGATTGCTCTACAACATACCCGAAAGATGGTCGTCCAGCCTCCGTTTGAAAACATCCAGCGAAGGAGCATCCACCACCTCCCGAGGCAGAGTGTTCCACTGCTCAACCACTCTTACAGTTAGGAAGTTTCTCCTGATATTTAGCCGGTATCGAGTCCCTTGTAATTTCTACCCATTAGATATAGTCCTGCAATCCGGAGCAAGAGAGAATAGATCCGCTCCATCTTCTACATGACAGCCCTTCAGATACTGGAAGACTGCAATCATGTCCCCTCTAAGCCTTCTCTTTCCCAGGCTAAACAGACCCAACTCTTTCAGCCTTTCCTCATAAGACTTGGATTCCAACCCTCTCACCATCCTGGTTGCCCTCTTCTGGACACGCTCGAGCTTGTCGACATCCTTCCTCAAATGTGGTGCCCAAAACTGGACACAGGACTCCAGGTTAGGCCTGACCATAGCAGAATAGAGGGGAATGACCACCTCCCGTGATCTGGACACAATGCTTCAGTTAATGCATCCCAAGATTGCACTAGCTTTCTTCGCAGCCACATCGCACTGCAGGCTCATGTTTAGCTTGTGATCAACCAGAACACCCAGACCCCTTTCACACAAGCCAAGTCCCTCCCATTCTATATCTGTGCCTTTGATTTTTTGCACCTAAGTGTAGGTCCTCTGCCTGAGACCCTGGAGAGCTGCTGTCAGTCCGAGTAGAGACATTATTATTATTATTATTGTTATTATTATTATTATTATTGGATTGCCCAACCCCGCAAGTGGGCTCTGGGTGATTTACAACCTTAAAAAACAAATGAAATATAATCAGCATAGATAAGTTATCACAATACACAGTATCACAATAATGAAACCACCAGTCCAGATGGCGATAACAGCCCCTTTTGCTGGCTGCTGACTTTGATGGGCCCAGGGTCCGACTCAGCATAAGGCAGCTTCACGTGTTCATGCTGAGGCATCCGACCGCCCTGAGAAAGGAGCGGAGCAGGAGGTTTGCAAAGGCCTGCCACCCCTTTGACCCCACCGCCTCGGGAGAACTCCTGTGTTTTGTCCAGACAGCTAGTGCCTCTGTTCTCAGGCGCGACATTCTCTTCTCGGAGTACCAGTCCAGGGACTGAGAGTCCAAATGTCGCCTGACTCCCCTCAATAGCAGTCTGGGTGCCTAAGAAAGCTGGCATAACGTAAAGGCAATTCTGTGCAAAGCTTGGAGAGAAAGAACACACACCGATTTTCTCTTCTGTTGAGAGCTTGACTGTATCCCAATTGAGATTCGGTGGATGAAACTTGCCGCAGTTGTTTTAAGCTCAGGAGCCGCTGCGGAGGTTGGTGTTGTTGGACACTCGCCCAACAGGGGGTGCCCTATCGGTTCCTTCCAGCCCTGTTTTGCTCCCACTTGCCTGCCTGCCTGCCCTCTCCGAGCAAGTGAGCAGCCTTGGGAGGAGCAGAATTTCCCTTCCCTTCGGGGGAGGGGGGGAGGCTATCAGCGGGCTGGAGGAGGGGGCCCCCACGGGAGGGTCTGCCTTCTGATGTCACTTTGCCCACGGTCTTCCCAAGCCAGGGCAACCTCACTGTCTGCGTGAAGTGTTGGGGGCTCAAATGGCCATTCTGCCCTTTAATTGCTTGCCATTAATGTGTTTCACCACCAGGATTGTCTCAGCCAGCAAAGGAAGGTGGGTGGATCCTGCGTCTGGTGATCCTGCGTCTGGTCATGTGGGCTCTGAGGGGCTGCTGTGGCCATCGTGTGGCACAGGAGGTGTTTCTTTGACAAGGGCCCAGAGGAACTTTGCCTGAGCATGGGTTTTTCCCCTTGCTGGGCCGTCATTCCATTCGCTTGTCTGCAAAACCAACCAGGCTGCTTTCCAACGATGCGAAAGCTGCGCTGAACCATGGAATGCACCAGATATTATTGAGGACCCCCCCAAGCAGATAGAGAATGTGTTTTCCTTCCGTGCTAACCGCAGCCTGCGGCCAGCGCAGTTGAGTACAGAGGCCGCAGCTTCCAAGCCCCGGCGCCTCCCATTCACATTAGTGAAGCATACTTTCACTGAGATGTGTTGTGATTTCTCCCACCCCCCGCCTTCCCCCCACCCCACTTCAGTTTCTGTCTGCTGCCGTCCCTTTAAAATATTTTAAAGAAAAATGCCATAGTGGGGAATAAAGAGGCAGCCCATTTTATTGAGGTTCTGTCAGGGCAACCGCAGGCCCCCCCCCCCCCATTGGTATCCTCCCACCCATCTCTATTCAGAGGCAGATGGAAGGGTGAATCATGCTGTGCGTGTGCGTGTTTTGCTTACCTGCCGTCTTTGTGGCTTTCCCTCCCGTTTCCTCGGATCATGCGTCCTCTGTATATCTCGTTCTGTTTGCTTTGTGCCGTCCTCCATTCCAGTTGCTAGACCAATGCCCGATTCCCCCCCCCCCACACAGCAAAACTGGAGCAAACGGACCAGGACTGTCTCTCTCTCTCTCTCAACACTTCCCTCCTCTTTAACAAAAGGATGACTGTCCTATGTTTTTTTTTTGCTTTTTAACCAAACCCGCAACACCCCCCTCCTCCCGTCGATGTGATATTTATGTGAGATTTTATTTAGCGTAACTTTTATTTTGGTTCCGTTCAATGTGATCTGTGACTTCCCTTCCCCTCCCTCGTTTCACAGGCCCGGATTTTCTCGTCCCCGTGGCAGGTTTCCTCTGCAGGTTGTGTCGCACATTCTACCATAGCGACTCGGCTGCCCGGCTCGCGCACTGCAAGTCCCTGATGCATTTTGAGAACTTTCAGGTTAGACCCTTCCACCTTTAGCCTTTCTCATCCTGTGACTGTCTGCCCCGCCCCTTTGGTGGCTCCTCCCCTTTCGGCCTGTCTAACAGCACTTCCTCTGTTTGTCCTCTGTGTCTTGCCAACTTCCGTCTGTCCTGTGTTTTGTGCTTCTTTTAATAGTTCCCAGTAGAATGCTTCTTCTCCCACTGCCTAAACGTCCTTCATTGTTTCTGACTTGTCCATTCATTCGTAAGGCCGTGTTCAAGAGCAAACTGTTAGCCGAGTCTCTTGGGGAGGAATTGCATCTTCTGTACAACGCACGTGTTTTCAGTGCTGTGCAACTACATTCCTTTCATTGCGTATCTGTCACGTGTGTTCTACCCTTCCTCCCAGCAGCTTAGGATTGGTTACATGGGCATTACCCCATTTCCTCCACTGAGGTTGGTTAGGTGGAGATGGTAGCTAGTCCGGGATTCAGGACGGACAAAAGGAAATATTTCTTTACACAGTGAGTGATTAAAATGTGGAATTCACTGCCAGAGGATGTAGTGACGACCACAGGAACATACGGTTTTAAAAGGGGATTAGACAGATTCATGGAGGATAGGTTTATTAGTGGCTGGCTACTAAAGGGAGCTAATAATAATAATACTAATATGGAGCTGCGGTGGCTCAAGTGGTTAAGACGCTGAACTGCAGGCTGTGGAAGGTTGGTAGTTCGAGACCCGAGTGCCACATGATGGAGTGAGCTCCCGTCTCTAGTTCCAGCTCCTGCCAACCTAGCAGTTCGAAAGCAAGAAATTGCAAGTAGATAAATAAGTACCACTTCAGTGGGAAGGTAACAGCGTTCCGTGTGCCTTGGTGTTTAGTCATGCCGTCCACATGATCACGGAAACGTCTTCGGACAGCGCTGGCTCTTCGGCTTTGAAACGGAGATGAGCACCGCAACCCTAGAGTCGGACTCGACTGGCTTTCGAGCAAGGGAACCTTTACCTTTACTAAGGGGAACCTCCACAATCAGAGGCAGTCAACCTCTGAGTCCCAGGAGGCAACATAGGGGAAGGCCTTGGCCTCTCTGCCCTGTTGTTGGCTGTCCAGAGAAACTGGTTGGTCAGTATGTGAGACAGGATGCTGGACTAGATGGACCATTGGTCTGATCCAGCAGGGCTCTTCTTGTGTTCTTATTTTGCGGATTATGGTCCAGAGCCCACCATTCTACCCACTACACCACAGGAGCTCTCACTCTTCCACCACTACGTTCAGCAGTGTTGGAGGCAGGGTATCACAGGCTCTCCTCCAGCTTTTCAGAGAGAACGTGGTGCTCTTCCAGCGGTGGGGGAAGGGTCTTCCCATTTGCCCCAAAGGAGCAATGATGCAAATCTTCCCAGGAGGGGCCCCACCCAGCTCGGATCCTTCTTGCTCTGCAGTGACACCCCACCACCACCACCAAGAGCACCTGCTCCATCCTTGCTGGCCTTAAATGTCATTATTTGGACAGCTCCTACCCCTGGCTTCCTGTGGGCTAACTAACCCAGGGAGCAAGGGAAGAAGAAGAAGAGATTGGATTTATACCCCGCCCTTCACTTGGTGTCTCAGAGCGGCTTACAAACTCCTCTTCCTTCCCCTCCCCACAACAGACCCCCTGTGAGCAGTGTTCCCTCTAAGCTGAGTTAGTGTGAGCTAGCTCACCATTTTTTAGCCTCCAGCTCACACGTTTTTGTCTCAGGCCAGGAAGGAGGGCTCCAGAGCAAACTAATTTATGCAGCAGCCAAATTGCTTGCTCACAACTTTAATGCCAGTAGCTCACAAAGTAGAATTTTTGCTCACAAGACTCCACGGCTTAGAGGGAACATTGCCTGTGAGGTAGGTGGGGCAGAAAGAGCTCTTTCCAGAACTGCCCTTTCAAGGGCAGCTCTTATCAGAACTACGGGCTTTCCCAAGGTCACATCAGCAGGTGCAAGTGGAGGAGTGGGGAATCAAACCCGGTTCTCCCAGATTAGAGTCCGCGCACTTCACCAAACTGGAGCCAAAGGGGGTGAGCCAGCCGGTGTCTTCTAACAGCCAATGTTGCCTCAGCTGTGCTTCCTTCGCTAGAACAGGATGGGCTTTGTCACACAAAGTGCTTATTCAGACGGAGCAACTGGTCATGTGGACATGACGATAGTTGGACGCCCTCGGGGCTGAGAGCCCTGCCACGGAGTTGAGTGGGCTTCTCTCCTGTGTCTGGTTTTTAAAACCAGGGTTCAGGTCTGGAACTCTGGAATGTGTTCATAGTGCTTCTGAGCATGAGCGGGTGTCCTCTTTCCTTGCCACTGGTAAACGATGCTTTTTCCAGGCTGCGACTTAGTCGCTGTGTGAGCAGCCAGGTATTCCTGTGCTCCAGAGGCTGCCCGCCGTGGCTGGTCAGGGGCTCGTCCTCCTCAGCTACTCAGCTGTTCTCTGTCTGCATGAACCTCCTTGCACCCGGGGTGTGAGACAGTTGCTCTCCCACAACAAGAATCCGATGATAGAGTGTTAAAACTAGCAAACTGATGACTAGGGATGATGAGATGTAACATAAAAATATATGTACTGGATTAGCCTGTTACAACTGGGGGAAGTTTTTTTGCAGAGGAGCGAAAGAGCATTGAGGTGCCATTTATGTATCCCAGGCTGCATTCATACCAAAAGTGTACTGCTGTAGGTTATTTAACGTTCCCTCTAAGCTGTGGAGTCTCGTGAGCAAAAATTCTACTTTGTGAGCTACTGGCATTAAAGTTGTGAGCAGGCGATTTGGCTGCTGCATAAATTAGTTTGCTCTGGAGCCCTCCTCCCTGAGCTGAGACAAAAATCTGTGAGCTGGAAGCTAAAAAACTGTGAGCTAGCTCACACTAACTCAGCTTAGAGGGAACACTGGTTACCATCAATACCCACGACACCTTACAGAATAACATAAACACAAATGAACAAAGTTTGAGTCCAATGGCACCTTTTAAGACCAACAAAGCTTTATTCTGGATATAAACTTTTGCACACACAGTTCTTCAGTTTGGAAGCAGTGCGTGCACACGGAAGCTTATACCCAGAATTAAACTTCGTTGGTCTTAAAAGGTGCCACTGGACTCAAACTTTGTTCTGTTGCTTCAGAGCAAGATGGGTACCCATCTGAACCTATAAGCACAAAAGGACAGCGTCTGCTCCGAGGAACTTGCCAGCTTACCTGTTTGACAGTGGGGAGGGTTCCACAGAGGACAAGGACTCTTTAAAAAAAAAATGCTAACAGCATCTTATATGACTGGCTGGTGGCAAAATCCCAACCATTTGAAACTGCCCCTCTGAACTTGTCCAGAATATGTACAGCAGCTCCGGGGTGAGCAACCCTTGACCAATGTTCCCTCTAAGCTGTGGGGTCTTATGAGCAAAAACTCTACTTTGCGAGCTACTGGCATTAAAGTGATGAGCGAGCAATTTGGCTACTGCATAAATTAGTTTGCTCTGGAGCCCTCCTTCCTGAGCGAAGACAAAAATGTGTGGAGCTGGAGGCTAAAAAACCGTGAGCTAGCTCACACTAACTCAGCTGAGAAGGAACATTGCCCTTGACTGTGAAAGAGCTGAATGATGACAGAATTCAGAGGACGAGGACAGCGAAGAGGCAGCATAAGAGAGCCCACGTGCATAACTGAAACTGCACAGATTAACAGGACTGATATCTGACACGTTGATTAGTCATCCGTAAAGTTTCTGTGGCCCCAAACACTGTTTGGTGTGAGTTGTTTATTCAGAATTGACACACTTTAGTTCTCACAGGAGCACCCTGAACAATCGTTCTGGTGCCCTGGCATCAATGCGTGCATGGTTGGCACTGGCACCCCAGAGCATCTTTAGTCCCATAAAAATCTTTGCCTGCCGTTCCATTCCCATACTGGGTATTCTGGCACCCCACCTAACCCTCCAGGAGGCCTTAACGTAAAGATCTCATTGTCTTTGTTGGAAGAGCCACATTGGGCTCTGGAGGCACCCACTGCAGGTTGCAGTCCCCCCCCCCCATTGCAGCAGTACAGAGGCTCAGCCGGAGCCGAAAATGCTGCGGCAACTGCAGCTCGCCCTGCAAGAGAGTCAGTGCCTCAACTGGCCAGGATCCTAAAAACAGATTTTTTTTAAAGACTGGCTATATTTTTTATCTGCAACTGATTGTAAGTCCCTTTGTATAAGATGTGGTATAACTCCTAAAATAAATGGCTCCTGGCCGAAGGGGGAGAGAACAATGCACACAGCCAGAGTCTGGCTTCCTGATTCTGCTGCAGACAATTCCTACTACCCAAGAGACAAGCCACTTAACAGAGAACCTTGCCCCTTCAGCAAAGAGAACCGCTGTAGTTGTATGGGCCTGGGTGACTCCATCTTTGCTATATGCTGGTGCTTCGTTGCCCCGAGTCTTGGGAGAGGACAGTATGAGCTGCTGTCAGGGGAACTTTCTCCCTCTCTCATGCTTGTTAGCTGCACTTATCTTCAAAGGCTGGGTTGTTTCTTCCCCCCACTGGAAGCCAGGTGCAAGGTGCCCTGGCTCATCCAAGTGTTTGGGATAGCTTGATTACTCATTCTTTGACTCGCAGCCAGCATTTAGTATATCAGATGCCTAGTTTTAGTACGCTCTTGGTCCCGAGGTTTGGCTAAGCTTCGCTGTGCATTTGTGCACATCTCGAGGCCAGCGGATTAAAGTTCAGCCTGCATCTGCTTTGATACCTCGTAAGTAAAGCCAGATCTCTCATGTCAGTTCTTTGGGAACTTCTGCGAACCTATGGAGCCCCTGGCAAGGGTCCATAAGTGTAGTGCAGGTGGGAAGCCAGTTTCTGGCTGCATGCACAGTTCCCTCTCGTGCACACAGAACAACTTCCCAGGGTGTGGACTTGCAGCCACATTATATGTGCCAAGCTCCTTTCTGTCCTCTGCGCTGCAGGTGGATCTCTGCTAGTGGACTGATGGTCCACTTGCGACAGGGCTTGGATTAAATAAACAATGTTATCTAGTATATTGTTATCTAGAGAGCCAGTTTGGTGTAGTGGTTAAGTGCGCGGACTTGAATCTGGGAGAACCGGGTTTGATTCCCCACTCCTCCACTTGCACCTGGCTGGATAACCTTGGGCAAGCCATAGCTCTGATAAGAGCTGTTCTTGAAAAAGAGCAGTTACTGTCAGAGCTTTCTCAGCCCCACCTACCTCACAGGGTGTCTGTTGTGGGGAGGGAAAGGGAAAGGAGTTTGTAAGCCGCTCTGAGACACCTTTGCGTAGTGAAGGGCGGGGCATAAATCCAATCTCTTCTTTTTCTTCTTCTGTGGAACTAGAAGGTTTTGTAAGATTCTGTCCTTAAAAACCTACCGGCCTGGAAAGATCTTTTCCTTTTGTCTCTCTGCCTGTCTCTTTACCTTGTATAGGAGGTGAGTTCCACATGCACGCATGCACACAGATAATAGCTTGACTTGCCATACTGATGTAGCTACTCTGGCAAGTGTGTCGCTCTTCTCTGGAAAGGTGTATGAGTGGAAACATTCCTCTAGGGTTACACCATGATCACCTTACTACTAGGTGCCGGAAATGCCCATTGCACTGTTGTTGAGAAGGAAGCAGAATATGTGCAGTGGTAAATTAAAGCAATTGTCCACCAGGGGCGTCTTAAAAAAATATTGTAGAAGCACCTCTTTGAATCTGGTGGGAAATTTACTGGATACCATGGGTAAGGTTGGCGGAGTTACAAGAAGCAAATGAACAAGAAGAAACTGTTGTGTTCATGGCTGCATGCAAACAAAAATTCTGGGTTTGGGCAATCTTAAATTGTGTGCTGAGGACAACTGAATCCTGCGAGTAGGGGTGTGCAAAAAATATATATATTCGGCCCATTCGGATTCCACCAGGCAAAATCAATTTCGGTGGGCAGTAAGGCTCCCGCATGTCCGTTTCGTCAGTAGGAGCCCATTCCAGAGTTCCGCCAGCAGCCAAATGTCAATTTCAGCCCCATTATATCCTACGGGCCACTGAAGTAAATGGCGAAAACATAGGGTATATTCTGGGGGCTGGAGGGGAGGGGGCTTGAGGGAGAGACTCCAAACTCACATGGTAGCTGCTGGAGCCTCTCCCCAAGATACCAACCAAGTTTCAAGAGCATTGGACCAGGGGCCCAATTCTACGGGCCCTCAAATAGGTTGCCCCCATCCCCTCCATTGTTCTCTATGGTGGGGAAAAAAGTTACCAGAATCTGAATCGGCCTGCAGCAGCCCGAAAGGGGTCTGAATGGGCCATTTTTGGGGGTTTCAGTGTGCACATCCCTACCTGCGAGCTGCCTATAGTACGCTGACTGGTCCAGGTTGCATTTTTTTATGCTGCAACTCTGTGCAATTCTGATTTTTGCTAATTACAGCATGACCAAAGGCACTTAAACAGAGCCCCCGACTGCAAAAAAACTTCCTCAGCTATCCTATAGGCTCCTGAGATTTCAGTTGGCATGGGTCAAACAAATCTTCACAACCATAAAGACTGGAAACTTGGGTTTAATAACAGCCAAGATTCTCAAGAAACACCTAGCTCAGTATTGTCTGATTTGCCTGGCAGACGACCTCTGAACGTGTCTTGCCTTGGAAACCCTCCAGGGGTCGCCATATGTCGGTGGCACTTTCCGCAACATGGCCAGCTAGTCAGAAAAACCATCACCCTAGTCCTTTTGTAGCATTTTGACAACGCAGAAATCTGCCATGGGAGGTTGTCGTAGGTTGGAGCCAAACATTATCATCCGCCGGTTCAACAGTTGGGTGGCTCCCAGCCCTCTCTCTGCGCGTCTTACAGGTTACCCGTGTTGTTTCTCTCCCAAGTGACCAGTAATCCCACACTGGTGTTTTGGTGTTTCTCCCCCGTTTGCAGAGGTACAAAGCCGCAAGGCTGCAGGCCACTGCCGCGCTCACAGAAGCTGCCTCGAGTCCTCGGCAGGGGCTGGCTGACGACCACCAAACTCCTCCCGCAGCTCGGATGGAGAGAGCAGAGGTGGAAAAAGAGGCTGGGGCATTAACGGCAGCCAGCGAAGAAGCTCGCCAGCCCCCGGAAGAGAAGGACCACTCCTCGGCTCCAAGGGACAGTTCAGCAGCCCTTCCCACCGACGACGCTGGTGTGCTCATAGAGGATGGGGAGGATGGCAAAAATGATTTCTCCACGCTGAGCGACCACCCGTTGCTTGGAGATGCTGCTGCTGCGGTGACGGGGGAACCGATGGGACTGTGCGCACGGGAAAAAGAGCCAAGCGATGAAAGCATCCAAGAGAGAAGCCCAGGCAGAGCCGCGGCAGACGAAGACGATCCCAGAGCAAACGAGACGCTGGCCGGCAGAGACCTGCTGGAGGAAACCGACCCTTCCTCCCTAGCCAAAGGGGAGACCTCGCCTGGGCGCAGGCGTTCTACTCGGCGTAGGGCCAGATAAAGTAGCCTTAATAGGAGAGTTTCTCCCCTTTTGTGTAGATTTTTGAAGAAAGATTTATTTTTCCTTCCCATCTTCAAGTCTTCTACTTTTAGAGAAAGGGTATGCTATGATTTTACTGCAGTTTTTATTCTAAAAAAATTAAATGGAAAAAAAACAACCCTATGGCTTTCATTGGCTTTTTACAAGATTCTGTTCTCTCAGATGTGTTTTTCAAGTCAGTTCTTATTCCCTGCAAAAAACAAACCGTGTCCTGGAAAATGATGCTCCCTTAGCTGATTTAAAAGATCCGAGAACTGATCTCTCTTCGCCTGGTCCACTTCCTGATTCTGGCCAAACGGCTGAAGTAATTTGTGTTTCCAGCATTTCCAAGTGTGGCAGCAGTCCTGTTGCCCTGAAAAGCTGCCTCCAAGTGTGTCCCCATTGCTATTTATACCATCAAGGAAAGAGTTATTTACAACCGTGTTGGTCCAAAAATAAAATCCCCAAATCCCCAAGAACACAATCCATGTAATACCTTTTATGATGACCACCCCTAATGACCCACATCAGTGTGCTTTTGAGTTCACCAGAACTCCTCTTGAGGTTGGAAGTTACAAAAAGAAAAGATGGTTTAGAAAGGGTTTGGGGGGAGTACTTCAGGACATGGTGTTAACAGGACTGAACCCTGTGTCCTGAAGCATTCGCCCCCTCCCCAAACCTTGAAAATCTCTCTTTTTTGGGGGTGTGTGTGGAGGGCATCCAGCCTGAAGAAGAGTTCTGGTGAACCTGGAAGCTTGCACAGTACTGGAGGTTGCTGGGTTCGTCCTAATAAAAGCTATTTCCTGGATTGTATTAGATCCAGGTGGGTAGCTGTGTTGGTCTGAAGCAGCAGAACAAAGTTTGGGTCCCAGTGGCACCTTTAAGACCAACCAAGTTTAATCCGGCACACTTCTTCAGATACACTGAAACAGAGTCACCAGCCATTAGGTAGTGGGTGAGGAGGATGCTGCCGGGAAGGACCAATAAGAGCAAAGGTTGGATTAATGCAATTGGTAAAACCTGTGAATAGCATTGCCTTAATCCAGTCTTAGCTCTAATTGGCCCTTCCTGGGAACATCCTCCTCACCCGCTACCTATATGTAAGGGCTGGTGACTCTGTGAAGAAGTGTGCCTGCACACGAAAGCTTGTACCCAGAATAAAACTTTGTTGGTCGTAAAGGTGCCGCTGGACTCCGACTTCGTTCTGCTGAATTGTATTACTTATAGATTCAGCAATACATCTTGAAGACCACGTCTGTTCACAAGAACAGCCAGAGTGGCGTTCACTGCTCATTAAACATGCGGCATTAAAAAAAAGATCCTGTTACGACAGAACATCTGTCAAGACCTTTGTCACGATCCTTCGGATTTATTAAAGTCCTTTCGCAACTCTGAAAAAGGGACTCCTCTCTCGACAGTCCGGCCTCTGCTGTTTCAAGACAGAGAAGAATCATACTTAACACGTCTTGTAGCCACTAAGACAGGGTTCATCCATAACAGATGACCCACAGCTGTGGCCAGTGAAACCTTTGTGCCATCAAGTCGCAGCCCACTTGTAACCCACTGAGGTTGTCAAGGCAAGAGACATTCAAAAGCAGTTTGCCATGACCTGCCTCTGTAGCAACCCTGGGCTTCCTTGGTGGTCTCCCATCCAAGTGCTGACCTCTTTTGTGGTAAGAAAAAAACTGTGTAAGAGTTAGTAGCTTCCTTTTGCAGCTGTTGTAAGGAATGATCAGAGAAATGCTGTGTTCTATACTAATCAGTACATATAACAGAGTTTGACGACGTGGCCAGGAGCACGCCAGTGGTAACAAATGTTGGAACTCAGCGAAAGCAACACAATGAGGTGCCTGCTTAGCTCTCCCTACTCGAAGAACATAAGAGAAGCCAACGTTAGATCAGGCCAGTGGCCCATCCCATCCAGCACTCTGTCACACAGTGGCCCAAAATACCAGGTGCCATCAGGAGGTCCAGCAGTGGGGCCAGGACACTAGAAGCCCTCCCACTGTTGAAACCCCCCCCCCAAGCACAAAAAATACAGAGCATCACCTGCCCCAGACTGAAAGTTCCTATATAGATTATATAGATTGTTCAATTTGCATCTGAATAGTCTGTATATGATTCTGAGAACTATCACAAGATCATTAATTCTCAGGGGTCATTTTGTAGAAAAAGAGGTCCAGGAGCTCATTTGCATAACTTATTTGCATATGCCACACCCCCTGACATCATCGGAAGTGTGTCAGAAGGCAACACCCACGGCTCAGGCTCCACTGGACTGTTTTGGATTGCTAGCTATTGGGGGGGGGGTGCAGATCTGCCCTCACAGGGGAGGGAGACCTTGTACCTGAAGGGGGGGGGCCTCTGCAACTTACCTGGCTGCTGCTTCCTCCTGTGGCCCGACTGAGGGCTGCTGGGAGCAGGGGGCGGGGCTTGTTGCACGTGCCCACCCCCTAAGCTCCTTACTGCCGGAGCTCCGCTCCTGTGCGCTCCCGCAGGAAATGACCCGTTAATTCTTACATATAGGATTCTTATCTCATTAAAGACACTCATTTGCTGCCCTCAAGCATTCCCCTCTGCTCTAATCCAGCTGATTACAATATGCATGGTACCTCTGCATCCTTTACAACACCCCTCTCACCTTCTGACTAGACTTAAAGGACTCCAAGATCTCTGTTTCTACTCACGTCTGACCAAAGGAGCTTTGATTCTCAAAAGCCTATACCCTGAAGCTGGTCTCAAAGGTGTTACTGGACTCGAATCTAAAAGATCATTAAAGTAAGACCAATCCTGCTGATTCTCCTCTGCACAATACCCAAAAAAACCCCAATGCCTTTAGGATTACTAAATTAAGCTGGGGCCGATCCTGTGGTGTCACTCCCTGTGTTGCTTACGTGGTTAATGCTCCAGTCCTGAGCACTTAGGAGGGAGCAAGTCTGGCTGTAGAGGCAAGAGGAAGTCGACTGTGCTCTAGTGCTAGATGACTCCCCCCCCCCCCGCAATCGCTGGACTTCCTTGCAAACAACACAGAACCACTTGTGTTCCTAGGGCATATCCTCAAAATAACACCAATTAGTTATGATTTCACTACGAAGGGATATGGGGCATGCAGTCTTGGCTCTGCAGATTCACAGCACTATGATAGATCATGGGACTGTTAAGAACAAGCAGATGAGACTGAAGCCGTATTGACTCCTAGCTCACTGAATTTAATGGACTTCTTTGGAATAGGAGGAGGAGGAGATTGGATTTATACCCCTGCCCTTCACTCAGAGCAGCTTACAATCTCCTTTCCCTTCCTCTCCCCACAACAGACACCCTGTGAGCAATGTTCCCTCTAAGCTGTTGAGTCTTGTGAGCAAAAATTCTACTTTATGAGCTACAGACATTAAAGTTGTGAGCGAGTGATTTGGCTACTGCATAAATTAGTTTGTTCTGGAATCATCCTTCCTGAGCTAAGACAAAAATCTGTGAGCCAGAGGCTAAAAAACTGCGAGCTAGCTCACACTAACTCAGCTTACAGGGAACACTGCCTGTGAGGTAGGTGGGGCTGAGAGAGCTCTAAGAGAAACTGCTCTTTTCAAGAACACCTCTGACAGAACTATGGCTCGCCCAAGGTCATCCAGCAGCTGCAAGTGGAGGAGTGGGGAATCAAACCTGGTTCTCCCAGATTAGAGTCCGCGCACTTAACCACTACACCAAACTGGCTCTCATCAGACAAACCAGTGCCTTTCCCATACTCATCAGGGAGAGTGGTCATGTGCTTCCCCATACTCTGAATATTTTGAAAGTATTGGACGTTGGTTACTAATTAAGCCTAGCAAGGAAGACTTGAAACAAGACACATTAGCACATTCTAATCTTGTGACACTGCAGTGAGTGATTTTACTGTTATTCAATAACAGCAATTCCAAGTAACACCAAACAACCATCCAACTTTATAGGAAATTACAACCAGCCCCCTATGTTGTCACTCTCCCCGTCCCACCCTTATAAAGTGCCATACCATTAAAAATCTGCCTTGGGTTTGACATATTCCAGATGACACAAATTTAAGACGTGCTTTTGTAGAAGGATCATTTTCTAAACCAGACCTGTTCCAAACAAAGCTAGAACTACTTATCTGATGCTACAGGATGCTATATTTCCAAGCCATCCCCAGGCCCGAAAAACAGCTCTTCATTATTTTCACTGAACGTCATGCCTTTTTTTAGGCCCTCGATTGCCGAGATACACCTTGGCACCAACCTCATAAATTAATTTCACTTGCCCTTGTAATTTACCAGACAATTTCCCCCCAGAGACAACAAAGTGGTTTTAAGTGAGCATGTGATGTTTCTGCTGATACCTTGTACCGTAGACAATATATAGATGAAGATCTAGCCAGCATCTGCCAGTGGCTACCAGTTTCCAATTATGCTCAAGGCCACGTGCTTTTGTGCGTGGAGGAAGGGAAATACACCATCACCCATGGCATCTTTTTACAAAGCAAAGCAAGCAACAACAGTTGCCTGCTGGCAGCTATTTTTTTTTTTTTAGCATTCACATCTGGTAAACTTATTTCTGAAGGGGGGGGGAGCTATTGGCTATTCATTTTAGGGAGGTATCCCCAAACCTTTTGAGCCTGTAGGCCCGTCTTGAATTCTGACACAGCCTGGTGGGCACAGCTACAAAATGGCTGCCACAGGAGGCAGAGAGTCACAAAATGGCTGCCGCAGCTTACCTTCCGTCACACAATGAAGACCCTTGCAGTGCGTGGTAGCAGCTGCCGCCAAAGCAACACTTAAAAAAATCTGCACAGCCAATCAAAGCCCTAATGACCAATCAGATGCCTTGCTAGGCAGAAAGTCCTACTTGGCCCTACCACCTATTGGCTAAAAACACTTGGTGGGCCCCAGAAACTTCACGCTGGGGACCTGTAATCGTAGGCCTCGTCTTTAAGTTGTGTACAAAATGTTTGTACCCTTAACATGTAGGTGTGATGCAACTTGGTAAGAAGGGTTAGGGGGGGAAATTATTTGGTTCGTGGTCACGTGGGTTGAAAAGCCGACATTTCCCTTCAGAAATGCCCAATGGGGGCAGGGAGGATTGGACAGGAGGAACAAGGTGTGACTACATTTTGGCTGGTTTTAAACATGCTAATTGCAATGCATTTTGTCCCAGGAATGCTGGGAATTGTAGTTTGGGAAAGGTACTGAAAATGTTCTGCAGACTTGCCATGAGGAATGAAATAGTGAGATGGGTCCCCCAATACACATACAAGGGCTAACAGCCGAAGAAACACCAGGAAAGAAGCACTGCACTGATGGGTAAGTTCACACAAACAACTCCCCCCCCCCCCCGCTAAACTGTCATCCGTCTCCGATTTTGCTTATACATTTCAGGGATGTATAAGGCAGAGTAGAAATGAATCATCAGCGGCTTAGAGGAATCGTGGTTCATTCATGCGTTTCAGCTTGCAGCCACAGCCTCCGACACAAAGATCGACAAATTTGGAAAGAAGTACCTTCTCCCCAGATGCAATCTACAATGTTCATCCAGAAAAGCCACTAACTATAAAATCCCAGCAACTTTATCCTGATCCCATAAGCTAAAGGATGAGAAATTACAGGCTAAACAGATCTACAGATTCCCACCCACTCCCCCGTTTCTCACAAGCTAGACGGGAGAATCCTTTGTTCCCTAGGATTTCCATTTTCTTATAGCTACATGCTCCAAACCATGCATCCAAAGGAGAGTGGAGATAAGACGTTAAACACACACACAAGCCAAAAGCACCTCTTCTATTTAAAGTTTAACATCCAACCCATGGATCAGGATGGTCCAACTGGAAGCAGCAGTGATCTACCAGCTTCTATCCAGCTGTAGGTAGACAGATGTTAAGTATCTGGCTCAGATCCCCGCATGTCAGCATCTGAGTCTTCCTCATTGTTCAACTGCTGCTGGAATTCCAGGCGAGTCTGCCGGTTAGACTCCAGTAGTTCCTTCAGCTGGGCGTGCAAATGGTCATTCTTCTCCTCCAGGTGATCCAAGCAAGAGTTGATCTGGTCCAACATGGAATTTATTGCTGCATATTCTGGGTGAGAGAAACCAACATTTAGGAGGAAAATTAATGAAACCAAGACCAGAAATTTGAACGGGGTGGAGATACATGGATATGCATGGGATAGAGAAGGTAGAGAAAGAAGTCCTTTTCTCCCTTTCTCACAATACAAGAACTTGTGGGCACTCAAAGAACTTAATGAGCAGTAGGCTTAGAACAGATAAAAAGAAGTCCTTCAGGCATAGAGTAATTAACACATGGAATTCACTGCTGCGGGAAGTGGTGGCAGCTACAAGCACAGACGGCTTCAAGAGGGGACTGGATAAACATATGGAGGAGAGGTCCATGACTGGCTGTTAGCCACAAGGTATAGATGGTGCTTTGTAGGCAACAATGGGAGGACTGCTGGAGTTCTGGCCTCACTGGTGGACCTCCTGATGGCACCTGAGTTTTGACCACTGTGGGACACAAAGTGTTGAACTGGATGGGCCACTGGCCTGGCCCAACATGGCTTCTCTTGTGCTCTTATCACTACTGCATTTTGTCCACCACTGCATTCATACATCTTGATAAACCAGGGTTTCTAAACTGTAGTTTGCTCAAACCCTGATTAGTTGTGATGCCTGAAGGCAGACAATCCAACAGACCAGACCAGAGCTTATTGGTGGGCTCCAAATCTGGATTCCAAACCAGAGTTTACAGCTAGTGGATTATTCCTAGCTTGTACTAACTGCAGTTTGTTGTGATGTCTGAATCCACAAACCACAGTTTTGTTGCACTGCACCACCCTCATGGCCTGGGGAGAAACTCTCCTTGCTGGTAGGTGGAGAGGAGGCCAGAAAGCAACCAGATCAGACTCCATTCTGATGCCTCAGTGTAACCCCGTGGTGCTCTCCTGAGCAGAGTTATCCCCCCTTCCAAGGCCACTGAAGAAAATGGACTTAGAAAAGTGTGAACTCTGCTTAAGGTTGGAAATGCCAGTCTTGGAAGGCAGAATAAAATTAAGCAGAATAACCAGAATGGCTCAAGCAACAGAATATCAGACTTGGAGCTGAGTGTGAGATCTGGATTCACACAGGCTGCTTAAAGCCCTTTCCTGTTCCCCCACCTGCTGTTGAAATGCACATCCAAAAAACCAGAAAGGCTGTTGTCAAAAGTCCCAGTCCCAACCCTGGGTAAGGACTTTTAGTAGAAGGGGAGTGCAACAGAAAACAAAGTTACAAAATACCAGAGAGAGTCTATAACTCACCCTAGTCTTGGTAGTTGCTACCAGGCCTTTCAATCTATCCCAACAGCCCAAGAGAGAAAGGCCAAGTCTCCCAGCTTTTTAGGGAACTAACAAGAAAAGTCAGCCCTGCAGAGCGGGGCTGCAGTCTGAATCCCAAAGACAAAACAGTTAGCTGGTAGGTGGTCAAGAGCCAAGGCTCTGGATAAAGGCTTACTGAAGGCAAAAACCACGACAAAGTAAAAATATAATTATTTAAGGTGCAAAAATATTTAAAACAAGACTAGATAATGGAAATAAAACAAACAAATATAAGCATTTCCAGCATAGCTAAGTACATAGAAACAAGGCTCCATTTACCATTCCGGTTCAGAAAGAGGCAGTCAGTTCCAGCAAGACAAGATGTTCGCAACTCAGCCAGTCCAGGCAGGAATTAAGTAGGATGCCACATAGGAATCTGTGTGGCCACTGACATGTTGCCGTGTCCAGTGGTCACCAAGCTTCTAGCTTCGACCCATAGTGTAAGAACTAACTAGAACATAAGAGATGCCAATGTTGGATCAGGCCAAAGGCCCATCCAGTCCAACACTCTGTATCACACAGTGGCCAAAAATACCAGTGCCATCAGGAGGTCCACCAGTGGGGCCAGGACATCAGAAGCCCTCCCACTGTTGACCCCCCCCAAGCACCAAGATGACAGAGCATCACTTGCCCCAGAGTCCCTATCTATACCTTGTGGCTAATAGCCACTGATGGACCTCTGCTCCATATGCTTATCTAATTCCCTTTAGAAGCCGTCCATGCTTGTAGCCGCCACCACTTCCTGTGGCAGTGAATTCCAAGTGTTAATCACTCTTTGGGTGAACAATTCCTTTTATCCATTCTAACCCGACCGCTCAGCAATTTCATGGAGTGCCCACGAGTTCTTGTATTGTGAGAAAGGGAGAAAGGTACCTCTTTCTCTACCTGCTCTTTCCCATGCATAATCTTATAAACCTCAATCATGTCACCCCTCAGTTGTCATTTCTCCAAGCTAAAGAGCCCTAAGTGCCTTAACCTTTCCTCATAGGGAAAGCGTTCCAACCCTTTTATCATTCGAGTTGCCCTTTTCTGCACTTTTTCCAAAGCTATAATATCCTTTTTAAGGTGTGGTGACCAGAATTGCACACAGAGGTGCTACCTGTTCCACGCACAGGGCTGGAGAGACAGGCACAGATCAGGAGTCTCAATGCGTGGATGAGACGATGGTGTAGGGGGGAAGGTTTCAAGTTTGTTAGGCACTGGGATGCTTTTTGGAACAAGAGGGAGCTGTACAGGCGAGACGGTCTCCACTTGTCCAGAGAAGGAACCAGGCTGCTAGAGTTATAGGAAAGGTCTCCGATTGACCTCAGGCCTGGTTAGACCAATCGGATACCCAAGAGATGATGTCACTCTTCTTTGGTTGCTGGCCACATGACATCCAAAGATGGACATTAGGAAGGGAAAGAAATGAAACCATACTGCAGATAGGTCCGCCCTTTCCCATACACAGGTGTTCATAGTTACAGATGTTTGGAATGTACTAATTGGGTCCGGTTACTCCCTGACACCTCAGCTGCAAACAATTAGGTCACTGCGCTCTATCTACTTCTGAACCGTCTCTAACTGTCTCTGGGAAGATTCTTGTAGGCCTCTATGCAGCCTGATCCAAAGATTTTGTTTCACAGAGCAAAGCAAGGAACCATTTTTTCTTTACAGCTCTTCTTGATACATGCCAATAAAGGCTGACTTGACTACAGCGCTTCTGCATGTGTTTGTATCCTGTTTGTAAACCAAATGATGACCATGCAGGCAAATGGATTCATAACTGTATTCTAGTCTTCCTGAGAGTTACAGCAAGCCCAGCCTCACTCTACAAAACCGAGAGCAAGAGCCGTCTCCCTTCCTTCCTCCCAGGGCTGCTTTGCAGGCAGCTCCATGGCACGAAGGACATTCAAATTTCTGTACTGTAACAACTGGGCCAGATCTGTGAATGGCTCGGGGGACATGGATTTCCCCCGACCATAAAGCTTTTCAGAGCAAAAATCCACTGATCGACAGCATCTCATTAGCATTTACTAATGGAAACTGGTTAGTAAGTGAAGTGTTGGCACATCACAAATAGAGCTTGCCATGTTTCTCCACAGCTCCTCACGTGTAAATTTAATCTGTTAACACGATCAGCTATCATAAATGGCTGGATTACTGCGGCATCCAGCGTTGCGTGTGTGAGTGGACGGCAACAAAAGTTTAGTCCCTTCATCCTCCCATCTCAAAACTAAGGTCTTCCAACGGACGTCTATTCACACATTCAGTTGCCAATCATCCTTCAGCTCTAGTCACAATGTTCCCTCTAAGCTGTGGAGTCTTGTGAGCAAAAATTCTACTTTGTGAGCTACTGGCATTAAAGTTCTGAGCGAGCAATTTGGCTACTGCATTAAATCAGTGTGCTCTGGAGCCATCCTTCCTCAGCTGAGAAAAAAAATCTGTGAGCCAGAGGCTAAAAAACTGTGAGCTAGCTCACACTAATTCAGCTTAGAGGGAACACTGGTCATGATGGAATTCACCAGCACCTGTGAACCTCACAGAGGAGGACTAATCTCCAGAGTTCGAGTGCACTGGGGGAAGAATTTAATCTCAGAGTTGGAAAGAACCACCAGTGTCAAATAGATCAACTCCTGGCCAACACAGGACCAGTGGTCCCTCTAAGCTGAGTTAGTCCGAGCTAGCTCACAGTTTTTCAGCCTCCAGCTCACAGATTTTTGTCTTAGCTCAGGAAGGATGGCTCCAGAGCAGACTCATTTATGCAGGAGCCAAACTGCTCACTCACAGCTTTAATGCTAGTAGCTCACAAAGTAGAATTCCTGCTCACAAGACTCCACAGCTTAGAGGGAACATTGCTCAGGACCTTCAACTATACTATATCTAACCAGTAGGTATCCAGACAGTACTTAACCTCACCTCATGAGGGAGACTATTCCAGCGTTGAATGCCTCTCACCATCAGGAAGTTCCTCCTCAAATTTAGATGAAAACCTCCTTTTCTGCAGTTTAGAGCCATCAGTCTGAGTCCTGTCATCCAACACAACTGAAAATACGCCTGCCCCATCCTCTGCATGACAACCCTTTAGGTATCGGAAGGTGGCCACCATATCATCTCATGTCCCTTCTCCATGCAGGGATTCCCAGCTCCTTCATAGGACATAATCCCCAAACCCCTCACCAACTTTGTTGCCCTGTGCTGGACTCCTTCCAGCTGACTGACACCCTTCCTAAACTGCGGTACCCCAAACTGAACACAGTATTCCAGATGACGTCTAACCAAGACAGTGCACAGTGGCACCAATACCTCACGTGACCTTGACTCGAACTCGCCAGCAGGTGGAAAAGATGTCACTTGGTGACTAATCGGCTCAGGCTTGTAGCTACCTAGCAGTCTGGAGGGGGGGGGGGCAGTTCCCATGATGACCAGTGTTCCCTCTAAGCTGAGTTAGTGTGAGCTAGCTCACAGTTTTTTAGCCTCCAGCTCACAGATTTTTGTCTTAACTCAGGAAGGCCGGCTCCAGAGCAAACTGATTTATGCAGTCACCAAATCGCTCGCTCACACCTTTAAGGCCCGTAGCTCACAAAGTAGAATTTTTGCTCACAAGACTCCACAGCTTAGAGGGAACATTGATGATGACCCCTCCCACTTGTTTGCCTTGAGAAAGCTCAGAATTTGTACCAGTCACATAGTGATGGGAGCTCTAAAGCAGGGGTGTCACACAAATGGCCCGTGGGCCGGAACTGGCCTGTCCAGGGCTCTTATCTGGCCCGCAAGCAACTGGTCACTATCTTTATTGCCAGATGACTGAGGCTGGGCATTCTGTCCCTGCATATTGTCCCAGGGCTAATGTGTAACAGGCAGTGGAAGTGGGAGGGAGGGCATCAGGGAGACGCTGTTTAAGGAAATACTGTCATAGTGTCAATGTTTTAAGCATGTTTGTATTTTGAGTAAAAAACAATACCGTTAACTGAGTTTGCCCGTGTCCTTTATAAAACTTATATCTCCTGTACCTGCTAATACATTTTATGGCACACATGGCCCGGCCCAACAAAGTGACATTTATGTCAGGTCTGGTCCTTGTAACAAATGAGTTTGACACCTCTGCAGAGCTGAGACAGAACCTTTCTCCCCAACAGTGTTCCCGCCAAGCTGAGTTAGTGTGAACTACCTCACAGTTTTTTAGCCTCCAGCTCACCCATTTTTTGTCTTAGCTCAGGAAGGAGGGCTCCAGGGCAAACTAATTTAGGCAGTAGCCAAATCACTGGCTCAGAACTTTAACGCCAGTAGCCCACAAAGAAGATTTTTTGCTCAGAGGACTCCACAGCTTAGAGGGAGCCATTTTCCATATGCAGAAATTAGGAACATTTTTATAGAAAGACAGCATGTCAGGGAGAACAGTTGCCAGCAACCTCTCCCCCTCACATGGTCAATTTCTACATATAAGGCCCTTTTTGCCTGCAAAAGCACATTTAAGATTCCCTGTATGAACAACTAGCACATCAGAGAGCCAGTGTGGAGTAGTGGTGAAGAGTGCCAGGCTATTATCTGGAAGACCCAGGTTCGAATCCCCACTTACGCCATGGAAGCTCACTGGCTGACCTTGGGCCAGTCCCACCCTCAGCCTAACCTACCTCACAGGGCTGTTGTGAGGATAAAACGGAGAAGAGGAGAATGAAGTAAGCCGCCTTAGGTCCCTGATGGGGGGGAAAACGCAGGAATATATATAGATGAATTAAATAACTAAATAAGCACCAGGAAGGGTTTGAGCCTAGCTTGAACCCTGACGGGCAACTTCCTCTGTGCCCAGGAACAGAAGCGAAGCCTTGCATCACTTCGACCCCCCTCCCGTAGTCGGAAGTGGTGGAGCCCAGACAGAGGTTCGACCACTTACTCCCGAGGAAGCACACCCAAGGACTGCAATCTTCAAGACCCTGGGATCGGCCGGGCATTTGGTTACCTGCTTCCCCGAAGCCCCCGTCCTCGTCCTCCTCGCCCCTGCCCAGCGGGAGATGCGGCTCTCCGTTCGGCCCCGACATGCCTCCGCTGCTGCGCCCGGCCAGGCTCCAAAGCAGCTTGCAGCGAGCAGGCCACGCCCCCTCCTGCCCGGATGGAACGCGGAGGCCCGGGGGCGGAGGCCCGGCCACGCCCCTTCCTCAGTGTCCGGCCGCCGCCATTCATTCCGAAGGAGCTGCTGCGATTGGTTGAAAGCCGGCGGAGGGCGGGCTGGACTGTAAGCGACCCACAGGCGATGCAAGCGGCGCGCATGGAGCACCGGCGGGGACTGTTGTGTGCGTGCGTGCGTGCGTGCGTGGGGAAGCTCAGACCCGGAATTAAACTTGTGGGTCTTGAAAGGTGCCGCTGGACTCAGACTTTGCTGTGCTGCTTCTCCAGCACCATCGTTCAAAAGGATCTATTCTTCGGCGCTCGGCCTTCCTTATAGTCCAACTAGGGTTGCCAGCCTCCAGGTGGGGCCTGGGGATCTCCCGCTTTTACCACTGATCCCCAGCCGACAGAGATCAGCTCCCCTGGAAAAAATAGCTGCTTTGAAGGGTGGACTCTATGGCATTGTATTATGCTGAGGCCCCTCCCCTCCCCGAACCCCACCCTCTCCTGGCTCCACCCCCAAAGTCTCCAGGTATT